ACAGTGATCTATTCACCGTTTGCCTCTAAAACGGTGATTGACTTGCTCGTTGTTCACCGTTTTAGAGAAGAACGGTGAATACGTCACCATTTTTTTAAAACGGTGAAATATTCACCGTCTTTGTCAAACGCGGTGATAGTCTTCACTGCGTTTGTCAAAAACGGTGAATGCTAAACATGTGTACTTTGGGAAATTTTTTATAACTTATGTATTTTGGGAATTTTTTTTAAGAACATGTGTACAGTGGGATTTTTTCCGGGTGTTCATTGGATATGTTGGGATGATTTTGACATCAAACTTTGCCATTATCTCGTCAGTGAGCACCATGAGAGGATTTTTCTTGCAAATGTCGACTCGGAAAAATTGGTTATTGAGGGCAACAGAGCTGCTTGCGCTCCTCTCTGCGGGCAGAACTTGTTGACATTGTCTCTATTAAAATGAAGTTGCTGGCTTTGTTGGAAATTCGAATTAGAATGTCAAATATGAAGAAGGTGTGGAGTGGTATTGCAATGAGAGGATTCTTGATCATAATTTCCAGTATGAGTAGTGCGGCCAATATGAAATTTGTGACTGGTACAACACACAGGAAGGTACTAGAGTTTTTTCCATATAATCGCACGAACCTCTTATATTTTGTTGGGCCACGTGGTTGAGCGATATCAGACTTGAGCCCCATAAAGAAGTGTAAGCTCAGTCTCAGCAAGAAGGCCCAGGATAAGCGTGCGGTTCCAGGTAGTTGGGCGGTCGTCGTGGGACAAGACAGGAGTCAGACTGCATGACATAAAGCAGTGATGATGACTGGAAGAAAGCTAGCTTACTAAGGCGAAGCACTTTTTTTTTGTAATTGCACGATATAGCCAGAAAATCCAAGGGTAAGATCCGACAATATGGTTATCACGATATAAGCTGGACTGAGCATTAATTGCCCGTCGTAGGCGGTCTATTAAGGGAAAGTACATACTTAAGGCGCCTGACATAGCATTTAATGCCGAAGTCCTCACCTATCAGGGTATAAATACCCCCGTATGAGCATTGATGGTAACTCAACTACTTCCTCTCTCTCTAAACTAAACACTTATTTTCTACTTCTCTCTCTAACTTAGACTTCAAAGAGTGTCCTAGACGACCGCCCACCGATCCTAGTTTCGCAGGCTCAGGAGTACTTCCCAACATCAAGAACAAACGCCTCACTCATGCTTCCTAAACCGCCTAGTACTTTCTAGGCACAAACACATTTGAATTTTGGGGTTTCTCTCCATGTTTCATTTTCGAGCTCTGCAATCATGTCTCATCTCTCTCGGCATATTTCTTGCAGGAGCAGTCATCTCCTTGATGATTAAGGGACAACGCCAGCCATATTGATATATACAATAGAGCATTTACATGTAAACAGAAGGTCAGGCAGTGGCGGATACATGGGTGGACACCTCTAAAATTTGGGAAAACGATTATCCAACCTCCGGTAATAGTTTCGATGGATAAAAAAAATTATAATTGGTAATCCGGGACACTCTTAAATTTTGAAAAACGATTATCCTGTCATCGGTAATAGTTTGCGTATGATTAAAAATGTATAAGTAGTACTCTGTGTTATTCAAACCTAGGACACTACTATTATTAAACATATTCTCTAGGTTGCAACTCATTTGTTGTTTTATTTTAAACACTATGTTATAGTAATAACACTATTCTTTATTCCCAATTATTTTCAAAACCTAATAATTAAACTCATTCGAGCTATCCTTAATTTGAATTGATTTTATAGGTATAGTGCAAGAGTTTAAAGAGTCTTTCAAGTTTGAGTTACATCAGGAACAATGTTAGAAATTGAATATGCAATCAGTTCGAGAATTATTGTCTAATATGATATATTTGCATTAATCAGATATTTTTTTGATTTATGAATTATTAAATTTAATTTTTAATTTAATTTAATTTTTGGAAGAGGACACCCTATAAAAATTTCCTGAATCCGCCACTAAGGTCAGGGGAAGAGTAGCAACCCCATGAAAAGCATGAATACATACTGTTATGGGTTTTGATTACAAAGACAAGGATGGGAAAATGGATTTCTAGACACTGCTTGCTTCAATGCCGCATGCCGGTCATACGAGTCTGATGAATATTATTTTTTGGTTATTATTATTACTATTTTGATTAGCATTTTTTGTTTTTTTGTGAGAAGTTTAGCAATTTTGGATTCATCGTTTGGGATATTTGTTTTTAGGTATTGTTTAGAAATTGTATTAACTATTTAAGTGTACAAGGTAGTTTTTTTAGGAGTAAGTTATAGTGTTCTCGTCGAATCAGAAAGAGATTATAGTTTTTGGATTTCGTTAGATATATGTATGAAATCTTTGAGTTAAATAAGCGAATAAGAAGAACCCTAATTAATTAATTCTCCTATCTTCATCTATTAATCTATAGCCCAAGCTCTGCATTTCTCGTTCTTGTCTCAAACCCTCTAGATTTCTTGTTTTTTCCCCTTATAATTCCTCTCGTTCTTCTCATGAATTCTTCTAGTTTCTCTATCTTGGTTCGTTCTAAATTATTTGTTTCATAATGCCTAGAAATTTTATATGCATAAATTTTGGTATCAGATTCTGATTGGCGCTGAATTTGCTATGTTGATTTACAAGCAACATTTAGGAGAAGAGGGTTATGCTCTATGGACATAAATTTTATGATGAAATCCCTTCTCGTCGAGCTCTTTGCTGTTCCAACTGTTTGACTCTGTTACACCCACCCCTACCATTATATCTGCCATCTTCACATCACTCATCATGGTCGTATCTATCTTATTTCGTGGAGATAACAACGAACTTACCAAACCAGATGAGCCATTCAATTTGGGAACTACCAAAACGACCTGTGGGTTTTAAATAAATGAAGGCAACTATTATATTTTCAATTTCGTTTAGATTATATGTGACAATCAACTATTACATTTTCACCATTAAATAAATGAAGTGATGATTAAAAAATATAAATTATTTTTTAATTTCCACCTCATAACAGACATGCGACAACCACTCAGTTGCTCTACTTTCTCTCTCAATCCCTTACCTCTTTTGAGCTTGGATCTCTATCTTACCAAATCTGAGTTGTAGCCAGAAGAGTATATAACTCAAATTAGATTCAATCTCTTTTTTTTTTAAATGTATGGAAAGTAACTTAACCTTCAATCAAAACCAGTCGAGGTTCCGAACTCCCATGAATGTCGTACAAGCGTCAATACATCAAAAGCAGGATTAGAAATAGACACAAAGTGAAAGCCTAGAGCCAACTGATAGCCTCTTGAAGCAAGAAATCAACATCATTATTCCCCTCTATATAGACATGGGAGACTTTCACATCCCAATCGTTCCGCAGGAAAAGACAACTGATCTATAACCATAGTGTGTTGGTGATACTGGTTAGTTGAGCTCTGGATGAGATGGATGGCGCACCGAGAATCAAGCTCCATATGGACATGTCTGTAGCCCATGTCCCAAGTAAGTTGAAGTCCTTAAACACCACCTCTCAACTTTGGTCGAGTAATAGAACAAACACCCAGATTTTAAGCGTACGCTCCACTGAAGCGTCATAAATGATCTCTAATCATACCACCTGCAGCAGCGAGCATGTATAAGTTATAACCGAGTCGTCTGAGTGAGAGTAACTCACTCTGGATGAGGCGATTTCTAGGAGATAAAATCCTCCATTCTTGTGGGCGAGTTAGGATGATGAAGGGTCTTGTCCTTATCCATAGCAGTCCTCAGAACAGTTATCCAAGTCTCGATGCGTTGGAGTAATCGTTCAACTATAGTGACCTTGTTTGCAAAAACTCAATCATTTGTGGTCCTCTAGAGGGACCAGCTGCATAGGCTAAAGAGAAGGCAGTAGTGGTCATGGCTTAGGTATCGAGTAATCTGATCATGCAGAGGGAGTCCAAAAAACGGTTGGTATTTAGAAGGCCGGAGGAGTTGCATCCAAGTTAACCTGGCAAACTGACAGTCGCGCAATGCTTGCATGACCGTTTATGGGCGACCAAAACATTGGGTACCCATCGTCTTTCTTGTCAAATGTCTTCTTCCTCTTTCTTTGTTCATCTGGAGCCAGTTCTATGCTGCCAGCCACAAAAAATGTTACACCCGAACTGGTCCTTGCCATTGCCAAATCATCTTTCAGTCAAAACTGTGCTCTTGGTGATCATGATTGGTTGTAAGCTCATAGGAAAAGCAAACTCGGAACCTTCTATCCGACTCTGGTCCCCATATGGCCACATCCTCTCATGTGATCTCCTTTGGTGATTGAATGACTTGTACCTGAAAAACCATATTCTCGTGTAAATATAGGCAAAACTGGTCAAGATCCCACTCTCCTTTGGCATGGTTGTATTCCACAACGTGGAACTAAAAGTCTGCCGGTGCGCATCCCTCTAGGACGTGATCAAGTAGTCTCTCACCATTGTCAACCCATCTATCTAGCCAGAAAGCCGTGGTTTGACCATTCTTGATGCTCATCTGCATTCCCTCAGTCTTGACATGCAAAGCTTTCCTAATGCCATGCATAATGGTAGAACTCTGAAAGGTTGATTTCATCACCATTTGGCTCTAAAAGTTCCTAAAATACTTGGCCTAAGTACCTACACCCATAACTCATCAAGTTTCTTGACAAACAACCAAGTAAGCATAGAAAGGAAAGTAATATTAAGCTCATGTGCCTTCTAGAGCCCCAAGCCGCTCTCTCTTAGGCCCGCAGAAAGCCTCCTAGTGCAGGAGATGTAGCTTGTGTCTCACGATTGAGGTCCCCAAATAATGTTCCATATCCTCCTGTCAATCTCATCGCAGATGGAGATCGGCAACATGGCGGATTGTATTGCATAGGATAACAGAGTGTTTAGAATCAAAATCGCCAAGATAACTTGCCTTGCAAAGGAAAGATTTTTGGCTTTCCAACAAGCCAGCTTACTATCCATTCGATTCATAATATATATGTAGGTCCCCTTAGTTACTCACCCATGGAGCACTGACACACTAATATTACCCAAGGTCATGAGTAATAGGGAACCCAACAAATCGTGAGATTGGACTACTCACTTGCCTCGAAACGTTCATGGAGAAGAACATGGATGATTTTTGCTTGCTTACTTGTTTGCCTGACGCCAGGTAGAAATGATGCAAGAAATCCATGTACTTTGCTTTATGCTGTGGTGGCTTTTACAAACAGGATCAAGTCATCAACAAAAAAGATATGAGAGAGCGGGGGCACACCCGGGGCAATGACAAACATCTTCCACTAGCCACAATCCACTTTGCTCATAATGGCGCGACGAAGATGTGCCATGTAGAGTGTGAAAAGGTAAGGCGACAATGTGAAGCCTTGTCTCAAACCCCTAGTAGATTGAAACTTTTCTGGGCAACTTCTATTTCGAGCACTTGCATGGAAGTAGAGGACACGCATGCCATAATAACTCTAGTTAGATGCATTGGGAAATCTACTCCATGTAGCGTCTCCTATAAAAATTTCTCTCTCATGCGATCATACGCTTTAGCTTGGTCAATCCTTAAAAACCATACCCCACACTTCCCCTTATTGAGACTCATAGAATGAAACAAACACCTCCTGCAAGATAATAAAAACCATACCTTACACTTCCCCTTATCGAGACTCATAGAATGAAACACCTCCTGCAAGATAATAAAAACCATACCCCACACTTCCCCTTATTGATTCTATGAACTCAGCATTTAGACAAAGACTTGTACACCACGTTGCATAGTCCTTTCGGTTAGAATTGACCGATCCTCCCAGTGCTCTCCTTTTTCGGTATGAGAACCAAAAGAGTGTCCTTCACCTTAGTTATTTGGTCCGGGTTCCTGAACAAAGGTGCAACAAAGTCGAGAAAGTGTCAGCCACCACCCTCCAATACTTTTGATAGAAAAAGGAGGGTACCCATCCTTCCTTGATGCTTTAAAGCCTCTCATGCCATGCATACCAAATTTGTTCAAGATCCACCTCTTGTTGCATGAGATCCCAAACCAATGGATCCAAGGATTCAAAATGCATCAGTAGAGGCTGAAGGGGACCCAACTAAGCCCGATATAGATTAACAAAGAAGTACAAAGATACTCTTTGAAGTTGACTTCTTCATGTATCCACGTGCCGTCCATACTCTTCAGGCCACATATTCTATTAAAGCTTCTCCTTTTTAACAGAGGTATGAACCAGAAGCAGTAGCAGCTAGAGCTAAAATGAAGAACTTGTCCTGAGTCTGCTACTGCTAATGAAAGCTGCACTCGAAGAACACAAGCCCAGAAGAAACGGTGGCGTTTTGTTCAAGTCCAGGAACGGCTTTGGAACAAAACGCAGTCGTCTCCTCTAAAGAAGAAAGAGACGAGCCAACACGACGCCGTCCTTCTTAGTTATCTGTCGTAGCATTTTGTTTTGTGTCTTATAGACACGTGGTGTTCTGTTATTGGTTAGTTTTCAATTGTTAGTTAATTACTGTAGATTAGCCGTTAAGTGTTCTTTGTTTTGTAAAGCTTGCTGGGTATATAAATGAGAAATCGAAAATGAAGATCTCGGTTGAGACCCTTCACCAAAAACCTAGCCGCTTTCTTCTTTTCTTCTCATGGTATCAGAGCCTGGTTGGCTTTGCTAACCCAGATCCAGGTTTCTGCGCTGCCGATTTCTCATTTATAGATCCAGAAGATGTCTACTCAAGAAGCACCAGTAGATGGGTTCGTTGCTGATGAGGTGGAGACTGAAGATGATATTGCTTCAGCAAATGACGCCACCTTGCCGCGAACACCACAAGGTGTGAATCCTCGACATCAGATGGATGCTTTTGTTCCTCCGGTGATCCCTCGCTACGAGGACCCTTATCTCAACCCCTACTACTTACCACCTCATGATGGAGGTTTGACAACTATTATCTCTATGAAGCTAACTGACCAGAACTACAATCTCTGGAGTCAGGTAATGGAACTTGCTCTTAGAACTAAGAACAAGCTGCAATTTGTGAATGGATTGATTCCTGTACCCCAAGTGGGAGACCCCATTTGGCAGTCTTGGCATAGGTGTGATAGTACTGTGCGTTGCTGGATCTATAACTCACTTTCAGATGATATAGCAAACAGTGTGGTTCCTTACAAAGTAGCTAAAGATGTATGGGACAATCTGAAAGATAGGTTCAGCCAGGCTGACAATATGAGGGTTTATGAGTTAAATGAGCAGATAAGAAAGTGTGTTCAAGGAAATCTTACAGTGACTCAGTACTATACTGCTCTAACAACTAAATGGCAAGAATACAAGATGTACAGGCCAGTTTCATGCTGTCCCTGTCCAAATAGCCCTTTCTTTACAATTCAGAAATACCAGGAGCATGATTTGATCATCAAATTCATGCAAGGTCTCAATGATGTGTTCCAATCAGCTAGAACACAGGTATTGATGAATGCTCAGCTGCCTCCCATTGAATCAGTGTTTAAGCAAATGGTTCAACTGGAAAGACAGCTGAAAGGGTTACAGTCTGAAAAGGGAAGAGTTGAATCTGTTGCATTGCTAGCAGGACAGCAGCCTAAGCAACAGAAAGGTGCTCAAGGAAGTAGAAATCCTAGAGACTACAAGGATGGGAAGAAGTGGTGCAGGTTCTGCAAGAAGGAGTATCATACCATTGATGAATGTTACAAGTTGAAAAACAAACAAATCAGAGATGGAGAAGGTTCTTTTGCTGGTTCAGTAGAAACCAATTTACCAGAAGGTGATGGTTCTCATTCTACTGCTCATGAAGGAGGAAAAGGGGAAGGTGATCTCCTGAGTTTGTTCACTCCCAACCAATTTGAACAACTCAGAACTCTGCTCAATAGATCATCTGCCTCTCCATCTCCTCCTACTTCACCTGGTGTTAAGCATTCTGCAGCTGTTGCTGTTAGAGGCTCACAATCAGGCCAGAAGCCAGCTGGATCTCCATCTGTCTCAACACAACATCCTCATTATGCATCACACTCTTCAGGTAAACAAGTCCTTTCTTCTGTGGTTGAACCAACTCGTAGCACAGCATGGGTTTTGGATACAGGAGCAACAGATCACATCATATGTGATAAGAGTTTCTTCATGAAACATAAGCCCCTGAATCAGGTTTTTGTTAACCTACCTAATGGACAACAGGTTCAAGCCACACATATAGGGATTGTTACATTGCCTTGTGGATTATTCATAACTCAAGTCCTTTTTGTTCCTTCATTTGCTTACAATTTGGTTTCTGTAAGCAAATTAACCAAAAATCATCCTGTCTCATTGACTTTCAAATCCAACTTTTGTGTCATCCAGGACCTTATTACTCGGAGGAGGATTGGTTTAGCCCAAGTTGATAGAGGTCTTTACCTTTTTAATGAGTTCAAGGGTCAACAGTTTGGAGTTTCTAAGGATTCCCAGAAGTTTGCAGCAGCAGTGTTCAATTTCCAAAGCCAGGATTTTAACATCTGGCATGCTAGATTAGGACATCCATCTTTGTCTAGATTAAAAGTTGTGAAACAGACTTGTAATGAGGTTTCTCTTCCTTTAACACAACATTGTGAAACTTGTCACTTAGCTAAGCAGAAGAGGTTGCCTTTTCCAGTTAGCACCTCAGTCAGTTCACATGTTTTTGAGTTGATACATGTAGACATTTGGGGGCCATTAAACACTGTTTCCAGAGATGGTTTCTCCTATTTTCTTACTATAGTTGATGATCATAGTAGAGCAGTGTGGGTTTTTCTTCTCAAATCTAAGGCTGATGCCAGGCCAACACTTCAATCTTTCTGTCTAATGGTTAAGAACCAATTTTCTGTTTCAGTCAAAACTATTAGAACAGATCAAGGCCAAGAGTTCCACATGACTGAGTTCTACTCAGCTCATGGTATTGTTCATGAAATGAGTTGTGTTTATACAGCACAACAAAATGGAAGAGTTGAGAGAAAACACCAGCATTTGCTAAATGTGGCTAGATCATTAAAATTTCAATCTGGTTTACCTTTGATCTTTTGGGGAGATTTTGTTCTACATGCTGCCTATCTGATTAACAGGACCCCCACTCCTATTCTTAATCATAAAACTCCTTTTGAGGTCTTGCATAAGGTACCACCAGACTACATGACTTTGAGAGTTTTTGGATGTCTAGCTTATGCTACTGCTGTAGAGGGTCATAAGTTGAAATTTGATCCTAGATCTAATCAGTGTGTTTTTCTGGGTTTTCCCCATGGCATTAAAGGATACAAATTGTTGGATCTTAACACAAACAAGGTGTTTGTTAATCGAGATGTTGTCTTTCATGAACATATTTTGCCTTACAAAACTGGTAAATCTGTTCATGAATCCACAGAAGTTTTTCCTCCTGCCACTTCTGTTCCAGTGTCTCCTTTCTGTCCAGGGGAATCTTCTTGTTCTGATTCCTCTCCTACCATTGAACCTGATTTGACAGGCTATTCTTCTCCTTCTGTCAAAACCACACCCTTAAATCCTTCCCCACCAGTACAATCTCCTTCCTCACCAGTCCAATCTGCAACTAATACTGATGATTCAGATAACATTTCCATTTTATCTGATTCATCACCTCCTCCTGTTCCCTCTTCTCCTCCACCTGTAGTACCCCTTAGGAAATCTACAAGGCAAACAACATTTCCTAAGAAGTTTAATGACTTTTATGTGGGTTTGAATCAAGTCAGTTATGATCCCAAGATCACAATACCACCAGACTTGGCTCACCTTTCACCAGAGCAGCAACACTTTGCAATGATCCTTGCAGCAGCTTTTGAACCTTCTTGCTATGCAGAAGCTGCTCAAGATTTCAGGTGGAATGAAGCCATGATTGAAGAATTAAAAGCTCTATTTGACAATGATACTTGGGACATTACTGACTTGCCAGGGGGAGTTAAGGCAATTGGGTGCAGATGGGTTTTCAGGATTAAGTACAATCCAGATGGTTCAATTGAAAGATTTAAAGCACGTTTAGTAGCAAAGGGGTATACACAAATATATGGTATTGATTACTGTGACACCTTTTCTCCTGTTGCAAAGTTAACTTCAGTAAAAATGCTGTTAGCTGTGGCATCTGTTAACAGTTGGCATCTACACCAAATGGATGTTAACAATGCATTTTTGAATGGAGAATTGGAAGAAGATGTGTATATGGAATTGCCTGAGGGATTAAGAAACAAACCTGAGTACAAAGGGAAGGTGTGTAAGTTGAAGAAATCACTCTATGGGTTGAAGCAAGCTAGCAGAATGTGGTATGCCAAGCTCACTGATTCATTGCTTGCTAATGGATTTAGACAGTCTAAATCAGATTATTCAATCTTCCTAACTGATATAAGAGGACATCTTGTTGTTCTCATAGTTTATGTGGGTGACATTGTTGTTGGAAGTGAGGACCTAGATGCTGTTAAGACTGTGAAGAACATGTTGAAGTCTTTGTTCAAAATGAAAGACTTGGGGGAATTGCAGTATTTCCTTGGTTTAGAAGTTAACAGAACAACAGATGGAATTCATGTGTCACAGAGAAAGTATTGCACTGAGTTGCTAAAAGAAGCAGGCTTTGATGAGTGCAAACCTGCAAAGACACCTTCAAGTGTCAAACAAGTGCTCTCAGCTGCAGATGGTGATCCTTTTCTGGACATCAGCAAATACAAGCATCTGCTAGGGCAGTTGCAGTATTTGACAAGCACAAGGCCTGACATTAGCTTTGCTGTTCAGCAACTATGTCAGTTCCAAGACTCTCCAACTTCAGTGCACTACAAAGCTTTACAAAGGGTTTTTAGATACCTAAGCAGTTCACCAGGACAAGGTTTGTTTTACCCTAAGAATTCTGCCATTCAGTTGACAGGTTATAGTGACTCTGATTGGGCTACATGTCCAGATTCAAGGAGATCCCTAACAGGGTTTTGTGTGTTCTTGGGAACAAGTTTGATCAGCTGGAAAACGAAGAAACAAAGTACAGTTTCCAGATCCTCTTCAGAGGCAGAGTATAGAGCTTTGGCTCAGTTGAGTTGTGAATTGCAATGGCTGGTAAGGTTACTTTCAGAGTTTGGAGTAAAGCATTCACAACCAGCCATGGTGTTTTGTGACAACCAATCAGCAATACATATTGCTAGAAATCCAGTCTTTCACGAAAGAACAAAGCACATTGAAGTTGATTGTCATGTTATTCGTGAAAGACTGATGAATGGCCTGATTGATTTGAAGCATGTTTCAACAAACTTCCAACTTGCAGATATCTTTACCAAAAGTCTTGGTATAGATCGTTTCAATATGTTGATGGACAAGCTGGGAGTTTCTGCACGATCCTCGCCAGCTTGTGGGGGGGTAACAGAGGTATGAACCAGAAGCAGTAGCGGCTAGAGCTAAAATGAAGAACTTGTCCTGAGTCTGCTACTGCTAATGAAAGCTGCACTCGAAGAACACAAGCCCAGAAGAAACGGTGGCGTTTTGTTCAAGTCCAGGAACGGCTTTGGAACAAAACGCAGTCGTCTCCTCTAAAGAAGAAAGAGACGAGCCAACACGACGCCGTCCTTCTTAGTTATCTGTCGTAGCATTTTGTTTTGTGTCTTATAGACACGTGGTGTTCTGTTATTGGTTAGTTTTCAATTGTTAGTTAATTACTGTAGATTAGCCGTTAAGTGTTCTTTGTTTTGTAAAGCTTGCTGGGTATATAAATGAGAAATCGAAAATGAAGATCTCGGTTGAGACCCTTCACCAAAAACCTAGCCGCTTTCTTCTTTTCTTCTCACTTTTGACCATAGAAAGATGGTAGAATCTTGTGTTCTGGTTGGCATCTGCAACTCATTGATCACGTGACTTCTATAACTAATATGTGTTCCTGCCAAAGCGTCTCCTCTAGCTCCTTTTGGGTCAAGAGTTGCGGTGCTAGCTCCCCTCTCGTTTACGCACTCCACCGTCGAGAGATTGTTTTTTAGGCTCCGCTTGCGCCTTTGAATATGACCAAAAATTGACCAGTTCTAACTCAGTAGTTCCATAGAAAGAGTATTGGTAGACTGCAGAAAGCTATCTCCCTTGGACTAGGGAGCCAACAACACCCGTGCGAAATCATCATGTCTACTTACCGGAAAAAAATCATCCATGTCTAAGCTATGCAGCCAAAACCACAAAAGATCATGCGCCTGGTTGCAATTCTTTCCCTCATCACTCACTAACACGGCTGCTCTATGATCAGAAACCACGCGCTCCAGATGGTGTGTCACCGTACGAGGATAATTTTTGAACTATTTTTGGTTACGAAGAGCTCGGTCCAAGTCCAAGTGCTGCTAGAGGTTGCCCCTATTCCCAGTGAAATGAAGCCTCATGAAATTTATCTCCCCGGAGCCCGCTCATGTCCACACATTTTCTGAGAGGTCGACTACGAGCCTCATGATTAGGGAAACCACCACAACTATCCATTGGCCCTAGTATGGAATTGAGTCTCCCACCAAAACCCTATGGATCTAACACATTGTGAAATGCGATATATCTCATCCCATAGCTCCTGTCGATTCGCACCATTGGGGTTGCTATAGATAACAGAGATCGCCATGACCTTGTTTGGTTGTGTTCTCTTGGAGAAGTTACGTGGATCATCTGCTCCCAAGATGTTACCTCCTCCATGTTAAGATCCTCACTATTCCAAAGCATCCGAATACCGCCTGAAAAACCAATGAAGTCCATGATTGTACACCCATCATAATTTGTATGTCAGATCACTCTGCAAGCTGCCTCACTACTAATGTGTGACTCAACGACAATCAAGAGGTACAGTTTAGTTACCAAAAAAAACTCTTCAAATAGGTTAGAAACCTATCATTTCCTGCCCCCGACAGTTCCATGCTAAAATATTTAACATCTAGTAATGAAGAAAGAAAAGAAACCAAAACAAACTATCAACCGAGAACAAAGGAGAAAAGCTTCTGTGACAGGAAAATGAAAGTGGCTACTATGCATGGATAGAAGGGGCTTGGGTGCTTGGCTCCCTTCGAGAGTAACACGAGGATCCTTTGCGAGTCTTCCTGGATAACTTTTGTATTTTCCTGCATGGGTTGCGGTACAATTTCATGGATCATACGATAAGATGAGAAAGTGCCCCAAGATTGGTAATGTGGATGCTATCATAGCGGAGTATGTACTACCTAGAATAGTAACCGAAATTAGAGAACCCTAAAATGTCAGTGATGAACCATAAAAATAATTAATAGGTACTTATGCTATTATATATAATTAAATAAAATATATAATAAATAAAAATGATATTTAGTAAATAATGAATCTAAATATACTTGGGCCAAACTAGCGACCACTAGTAAGTCAGCAGTCTCGTTTGCAACGTCATTAGAAAACTGAAGGAGTTAACGGAGACTGATGGCCGGTGACTAACGATAAAACGATTTGTAAAGTTAGTGGCGAATAAAAAAAATTTATTTTAAGTGGCAAACATGAAAAATTTATATAATTTGAGTGACTAAACGTGTAATTTAGTCGTGCCGTGACCTGGTCATAGGATTAGTACAAGCATAAACTTGCTAGCTAGTGGTAATCTCTGGATCACATCATATACTATGGTCCCCCACGGCCCACCTACTTTGAATTTTCTGGGTGTCTCCATGTTTCACTTTCGAGCTATGCAATCATGCGTAGCCAGCCTCATCTCTCTCCATCGCCATATTTTCTTGCAGCCCCACCCTCTTGATTGAGGGACAATCCCAATAGTGCTTACAATTAATTATAAAAAGCGTGTAGACAACTCACTTCAAGGCTGGAGGAAGAGAACCAACCCCTCCAAAAGCAAGACTATAGTGTTTTGGCCTGGGTTTTGATTCCTAAAAGTAGAAGGGGGTGGGGGGAAAAATGGGTTTCTGGACACTGCTTCAGGTGGCTTCAATGCCAGTCATACAAGTCCTCGTCATCGGCCTCTTGGGCGCTCTCTTGGCAACCGGCTACTGCAACATCCTCCACGCCGATGCTAGAAACTACTTGAACAAGGTGATCATCCTCCTCGATCTCTCTGCAGCTAGCGCCATTAATATATTCATGATTGCTAGCTTCTCCTAGCTCATCCGTTTGATTATATTGATCCTGTATGCAGGTTGTGTTCACGGTCTTCACACCCTCGCTCTTGTTCTCCATTCTCTCCAAAACCGTCACCCTCGACGACATCATCTCATGGTACGTACCGTGCAGCTAACTTGGGTACGTTTTCATCATTTTCCTCTGCAGCTAGCTAGATCATGCAGCTGGTTGAACACATATTCTTTTTTTATTTTATTTCAGGTGGTTTATGCCAGTCAACATCGGGCTGACCATGTTATTTGGAGGACTTCTGGGTTGGTTGGTGGTCAAAGTGTTGCGGCCCAAGCCGCATCTTGAAGGCCTTGTCATTGCTACCTGCGCCACAGGTCCATGTTTAATTTCATCTCATCTCTGCAGCTTCTCATCATCATGTCATCTTTAATTTTGTCTCTCTCCGATCATCTCTTTGTTTCTTTTTTTACTTCTTCAATATTGTTCAGGGAACTACGGGAATCTGCTGCTGATAGTTCTACCTGCAATATGCAAAGAAGACGGCACTCCATTCGGGGAGGATCATGCAACATGCGGCTCCGTTGGACTCTCATACGCATCCTTCTCTGCTGCGGTAAATAAATAGTCCAATCTAATATAGTCACACAAACTAATGACTTTAAGTTTAATAATCTCTGGGTCTGGTACAAATTCACTATATATATGCACGCTCGCAGTTGGGTAGCATCTATGTCTGGACCATTGCTTACCAACTCGTCCGCAACTCAGCTATCAAACTCGAGCAACTTGAGGTGGCTGATGAATTAGAGGCCTCCAAATTACTAAACGACGTCGATGAAGATGCTAACCTGCAGGGATCTCTTCTTCTTGAAGATGCACGAGCTCCAAAACCTGCTGCAGTAAGTTCCTTACGTTGCAGACTGAGTGCAGCGTTTCTTGATGATCAAGTGTCTGATTTCATGTCTTGGGAAATGCAAAGGCTTCTTCTGGGTGGAGCCAAGTTGTGGAGGTGCTACATCGGATATTACACGAGCTCACTGCCCCTCCCACGCTTGCTACGGTAAGTTTTTCTTTCCCTTCTTCGCACAACAAGGGTACTGAAAATGTAAGTTGCGTGTTTTAATTTTTAGTTTTATGAATTATATATGTCATCCCCATCATTGGTATTATTTTTAAATGTTTCCATAAAATTATGTTAATTGTACTTGGATGTTATTTATTTATTTATATATGTGCTGAAAAAATAAATGATAAAATGATTTGGGTAGTCGACAATCACAAGAAAGTAATTATGAACGCACTAATCGGTTTACGTGGTTCATCAATACGATATTTTTCAGCTACGTCCTCAGGTAGCAGGCAGAAAGCAGTTTCACTATACTTGACAAGATACAAATGACATAGTTTATTATTAAGAAGGTATATATAACACATTCTCGATACAATCTGACCCTAATAAAATTGACTATATATAAAATGTATTCAACTCATAGCAACAATATTAAAGTCCCATCCATTCACACGACTTTTTACTACCTAAAATATGACAATCATAAAATTGTGTGTTTCATGTGAAAATTTTAATCTCAATAAAATGACGAAACATAAATAATCCTCTGAGAAAAAAAAAGAAGAAATCAAAAAAATCATTTATTAATCTCAACAATTTAATTGGTATAAAAATCCATATTTTTTTTGTGCTTGCAAAAAGCTGATTTTTTTTTAATAGAGTGATGGTAATGGTATACCCAAGCTAAGACACCCTAATCTGGCCCGCCCCAGTTGGCATCACAATTCACAAGCCTCTTAAATATAGCAGCTAGCTGGCCACCTACCTCTGATTAGTGGCAGATATATTTCTCTTTCATTTCCCCTATGGATCAGATCAACACATCTATCACAATAATGCAGCATCACTTTTTATGCTGATACATATGGTCCTAGCTAATGTGAATGTCGGATATCCTAGCTATCTGCCAATCTCACAACCATTCATTTTGATTATGATTTTAATTTATTTTTTGGCGTATATCTCTGATGGTCAGATATTTGGGTTCTTGTTTGGAGCTACTGCGTTTCTGAGGAACCTGATAGTGGGCGAGGGTGCACCCTTGCGTGTCATCCAAGACTCCATTGCATTACTTGGGTACGATTCCTCTGTTATTGTTCATACTGTCACCAATAACTCGAATAACTCTTGGCAGAAGTTCCATAATAGGTCATATACCACACACTTACACACGATGGCGGATTCATGGATCATTAGGGGGTGTTCTGGGACACCCTAAAATTTGGGAGAACGATTATCCAACTCTCAATAATAGTTTCGTATGGATACAAAAATTATAATCGGTAATGTGGGACACCCTTAGATTTTGAAAAAAACGATTATCCTAATCTCGGTAATAATTTGTGTATGGTTGAAAAATATAAGTGGTAGTTTGTGTTATTCAAACCTAGGACACTACTATTATTAAACATATTCTCTAGATTTCAACTCATCTCTTGTTCTATTTTAAACACTATAAAATATTAAAAACATTATTCCTTATCCCCAATTATATTCAAAACCTAGCAATTAAACTAATTACGGGTTATCCTTAATTTGAATTGATTTCATGGTTACACAACAATAGTTACAACTTTGAGTTACATCAAGAACAAGGTTAGAAATCGAATATGCGATCAGTTCGTGAATTATTGTCTAGTAGGATATACAGATTTGTTGAGCAATGTAGATATCGAGTCTATTTTATATTCCTTTTTCAAAATATGAAAATAAGTCCTAACCTTTTGTTATAAGTTGTACTGGTCGGATATTTTCTGATTTATAAGTTGTTACACATACATTATATATACATATATATGGGTTATATATATAATGAAATCTGGGAGCTCGTTGTGAAAAACTGCCGTACATGGTCTTGCTTGCATGTGCAGGGATGGTACAATTCCCTCCATCACCCTCATATTGGGAGGCAACCTCACTCAAGGTAAAGCAAATCAAATATCCAAATTAGAGGGTTGCGGTCTTTCTAGCAACATTATTGAACTTAGCTAGCTTGCTTGCTGTTGTTTTTCGGCGGTCTTTCTGTTCGGAATTAGGGTTGCGGTCTTCGAATATCAAGCCATGGATGATCGTCGGAGTGGTCTGCGTGCGATACGTATTCCTGCCGGTGATCGGAATATGTATGGTGAAGGCAGCTTCCGGCCTGGGGCTGCTCCCTGCCGATCCTCTGTTCGCGTACGTGCTAATGCTTCATTACAGCATCCCACCGGCCATGAACATTGGTAAACAAACCCAACCACCAAACCCTGGACTTTTTCTCTGTACATAATGCACAGTTTTTTTTTTTTTAACGATGGTGTGATGCAGGCACCATGACACAGCTGTTTGATGTGGCGCAAGAAGAGTGCTCAGTTATCTACCTGTGGACATACTTGTTTGCAGCCGTCGCGCTCACCCTGTGGTCTACAGTCTACCTGTGGATGTTGTCCTGATCAAAGTAAAAAAGGGGATAACGAGCATTCAATTGGGCAGTAGTTGTCATAATGTATATGATAAGGGAGAGGGATTAATTAAGGTGGAAATGAAATAAGTTCTTACAGTGTTTGAGGGTAGGTAGGAATGCATGGTGTGGCAAGTTCATATAATTTGGTGCGACTGTCACAATATAATCAAATGTGTTTGGATAGAGTGTGATTTAGAGATTTGGTATTTGTGATTTAGATTTTTAAATATGTGTTTGGATATTAATTACATTTGGTATTTGAATTTGTGCCAAATTCATTAGGTGATTTTGCAAATACATGTCTAGTGTATTGCTTGTCAACTTCAAATACATTTTAACAACTAGTGATTTGAAATAACTCCTAACAAAATATTGGACTAATTTGTAAAATTTTAAAAGTTTAGGTAGTATAGTGTGGGACAAAACATATTAAGGTACCAAAATTTAATTTTACCATCGAAATTTCTGGACCTTTTTGTCAAATTTTAAAAGTGTGGGTACTAAATTGTAAGAAAAAATACAATAGGGTACCAAACTATAATTTACCAAATTTTTTAGTAAGTGATCGAAAAATTCAAAATTTGAATAAAAAATTATAAAATTTAAAATACAAACGAATTACAAATGAGTATCTAAACAACGAATTTGAATTACATGTATTTCAAATTCTAGTATTTCAAATACATGCATTTTAAATATGTATTTTATATACTTGTTATTTCAAATACACCTATCCAAGCACACCCTAAAGGAATTCAGATTTATCTTGGCTATGATTTTAGTAAAAGTTCCTACCAATAACTAACTTGTTCCATGATACATGCAATATGATACCTTTAAATAAAAAAATTTCATTAAGCAAGAATAATTCAAGAAATAATGTGAGCACCTCTCAACAATTTACAACCATCAAAATGAGAAATTACTCCCTGTAGCTAACTCATTTAGATTAACTATAACTACTTTCTCTCAACCCTAACAATTTTCATGTCAAGTCTACTCTTCAATCTTGAATCATGCTCTGCACGTGTCACTTGACAACGAGATCGAAAGGAATTTAAGAGCTTTACCTAGTACTGCAAGACTCCAACAATTAGACATAACATTATGGCATATTAGGAACTACCACAACCACAACCTAGAGTTCCTCTGCTGACTATGGGCTCCTATACTTGTCTGAGTGTTGAGGATGTGCAATCTTCTATCCTTTATCCTGCAATCTCGAACAACAACTTCGAGATCAAAGCTGGGTTTATCTCTATGATCCATAGTTGGATCCAATTCAATAGATTGAAGGATGAAGATGCTCAAGCATATGTGAAATCATTCTCCGAATTGGCGGATGACATAAAGATCAATGGAGTACCTCCTGAAGTAATCCGACTAAGAATTTTCCCGTTCTTACTCGTTATAGCAGTAAGCAGTGGTTCAATAATGAATCCCACCACTAATTCACATCTTGGAGGGATTTGTGTGATAAATTTTTCGCAAGATACATTTCCCCATCCAATACGGCCTCTATGTGAAGCAAGATAACATCTTTTCAACAAGAGAAAGATGAGCCATTCTTTCATTCATGGGAGAAGTTCACATCTTTACTACTCAAGTGCCCTCACCACGGCTTGGCAGATTGGTTCCAAGTGGAAAGATTTTACATTGGGCTAACCAAAGATTCTCAACACCTCATTGATGCGACAAGTAGAGGGGCAATATGGAAAAAGAAGTAGAACAAATGCAAAAACTTGTTGAAGAAATGGCCTCAATTGCTATGATTGGGGAGAGGGAAGAATAGGAAAGGATCCGATAAGAGGATGTCTTCATTAAGTTGATGATCAATCTTCCATATATGCTCAACTCCAAGAAGTTACAAGGAAAATGGACCTTGTCACCTTGGTTGTTCAAGGAAGCATCTAACAGTGATGAAGTGCGACTGGTGTAGATCCTTTTCTCATAATCTTGAAGAATGCCAAGTCATGGTGGTTGCCTTGGAAATTCACGAATAAGCCAACTTTGTTGGAGGTCAACCACGAGGATACAATCCTTATAGTGCAACCTATAACCTAAGATGGAGGAATCACCCTAACTTCTTGTGGTCCTCTCTCGTGGATAGATAACCTCCCAATTTTTAAGGGTAATCATCCACTCAAGCTCCAGAACAAAGGCAACTTCAAGAAGCCTCAGAGCATCCTAGTAAATCTTAGTATACTGAACAAGGGTGAGCATCCAACGGTCGAATGGCGAAACTAGAAGATATGATGGGACAATTCATATCAACCTCTTCCAAAAGGTTGAATCTATTGACAAGATTGTAGAGGTTGTCACCACACGATTTCTAATGTTAGAAGCAGGTCAAATAAACCGACAAGCCATTTTGCACAGCATAGTGTCCCAAGTGAGCACTATTGCTCGAGCATTGGCGGTCTGACCTCAAGGAGCTTTACCTAGAAACACGGAGCCCTAACCCAAAATAGCGATGCCATGCCATTACTCTTAGGAGTGGTAAAATTAAGATACAAAAGAAGTTGAATCGCCATCAAAGGCGAGGGTTCCCATATTGAACATTCTGAAGGCCCAAGGACACACCAAAGAGTCAAATGAAGAGAAGAAAGTTTCAATTGATATTAATGACCAAAAAGAGAACATATAAGAAGATGATCAAGAGAAGGTCAAGAACAACGTACCAGATTACCTTCCTAGCCTTCCATACCCAAAGAGAGATTTTGAAAGTAAACCGCATAATGAATATGGGCAATAGAAGGACATGCTAAAACAATTGAAGGTCATAGTACCATTTCTAGACGTCGTGATGAAGCTACCGAATTATACAAAGTTTCCGAAGGAGATCTTGTCTGGGAAGAGGAAGATGGAACAAGTTTCCATTGTTTCTTTGATTCCAGTCTCGTCAACTATGATTACTTGCAAGGGACTACCTCCCAAGAGAAGAGATAAATGAGTCTTCACAAATCCATGCACATATGGTGATAAGAAGTTACAAATGCCTCTTGCAGACATAGGCTCAAGTATCAACATCATGCTCAAAAGGATCTATAAGGAACTTGGCCTCGGTCCTCTCATACCAACATGCATGAAGGTTGAACTATCCAACCTATCGGTTGCAACACCTAAAGGACTGGTCGAGAATGTTCTTGTGAACTGTTCTCACTTTGTCTACCTAGTGGATTTCATGATCATGGATATGAAAGGATGCGATGATGCTCCTATTATCCTCGGGACACCATTCTAGCAACTGCAAGGACCATCATTAATGTAAGTGCCAATCGTATAACCCTAAGGATCTATCAAGAGGAGATAAAATACACCACGACTCCAATCCCCTCTTTTCACAAATACTGTGAGTGGGAAGATGTTGCTCAGGATTTTGAGCCAGTGACTCCTACACCAACCCCACAATCAAGCTTGGAAATAGAATGGGTGAACATTAAATCTATGTTTGATCCCATCCAAGTGAATGGTGAACCTGTAGATTGCAAGGCAAGGCTTACAAATGAGAGACCTAATGATAAGAAGAAGAAGAATAAGAGCTATACAAAGTGTCTACTATTTTCAAGGCCAAGAAGAAAAAGCTTAAGAAGTATGAACTTGAAGAGAGTTATCCGAAGTCAAAGATCAAAGATCAAGCTAAACTATTTGAAACGGGCAAGGTTACCCTGATAAACGAGAAGAAATAAGTCATAGGTTGTTTCAAACCAATTGAAGACAAGGATCTAGGCCTCACTATGATTGGGAATCATTCCAAAGGACATACTATGGAGAAGGAAGTCGAAACAAATGAAGTGAAGGCCTCAACTGAGAGACTCCACGATTTTCACCTAGGTCTCCACCCCATGGGTGCTTATTATGAAGCATCAAAAGTGGAAGTAAGAGACCAAAAAAGATCATCAAGAGTAGCTGAAGCGGAGCATGAAGAGCAAGCCCTGAGGCATTAGGACGACCCGAACTCCTTACAAAAATTTCAAAACCAGGGCACACCCAATACCTCCAGTGTAGTGAACCATTATGCCAGTAAAATGCTCACAACAGTGCTAGGAACCAAAAACGAGAAGCCAAGGTGAGACACCACATCATGGCTTGCAATAATGCCATTTTTCAATACTTTCACATTCTGATCGTCGATATTGCTCCTCTCTTTGCGCGTACCCCTTTTCCACAATTTATGGGTTCCATGACCAGTCCTATGATGATGAGTAGCTAAATTGACGACATTACATGGTTGTTTTCTAAATTTTACCTTTCTTAATCAATTTCTTAATTTTATTTCCTTTTGCTTCTTTGAACTATAACTTTGTTATTGTCATTTACTTATCCTTAATTACTGTTGTGTGAACGACACTAGTAGTAATTATGTAGGGTAGTTAACTATATATTATATTAACTATATCAAGTACTTAATTACTGTTGTTTGAATACATCCTATCTTTAGATCTCCAAAGAAGACTATAGTTGTGCATCATCCAAACATTCAACACACCCCTATGCCAACGATCCGAGACCTCATCTTTGAACTCCCCCATTACGGATAATATGTCTTAAGTGTGTGTGGGTGAGGGGGGGTGGGGGTTGAAAGTTTCATGTTTAGAGTTCCGGATGTTTATCCGAATGAATACCATAGTCAGTTGATTACTTTTCTCAAATAATGATGAATGTTTGATATATTTTAGTGTGAAATTGTGAACAAATGGAACGGATTGTGATGGTTGAATAGCATGATAGGAATTTACTTGGAACCTAGAATTTGCTCCAAAATTTTAACTTTGAGGGTTCTAAGTAAACCCCGTAGCATACACTGTGACTACTTGCTTTGAATCATTGAACTTAGCTTCTCCTACTTGATCAATGTCGAGGAACACAGTGCGTGAAATGTCAAAGGATGAAGTATCAAGTTTGACTCTTCGATGTGTCAGGTCTTGTGTGTTTGAAGAGTGAATGGATGGGTTACCTGTTTGAAAAGCGTGAATCCAAGGTGTGCATTTGACGGTTTTTGCTTGGTTCTATGCTTTATCACTACCTTGAGTTTTCCTTTAAATGAAGAGGGTTGTAGCTCGTTCTTTAAAGGTCTACATGTGAGGAAATGATCAAATTTTTCTACAAGTTCATAGTAGTAATAATGAAAAGTGACCACTCCCGATCGAGTGCCAATTAGAGGGTGATGCGCATATGGGGACCCCACTTAGTTTCGTTTAGCTACCGCACAAAGGTGGGTCATCTTCGTGTCGTGGCCCATTCACACGAGGGCGAGGTATAGGTAGTCGAAAATAGCACTAAAAATGACTCCCCTCATTGCCCGATGTGAGACAAAGAAAATGTTGAGTTGCTACAAGCCGAAAGTAAACCTGTAAAAAGATAATAATGGTTGAGGACAAAGTAGAGGATAGAACCGTGAAAAGCAATCAATCGTTTTGCCTACACCTATGGGTCATGCTATTACTATCCAAGCAAATCAAAGGTTTGGTTGATATGGTTTCCTAGGGTAAAATCCTCCTAGCTATGGTTGTCGTGTTGGTTTAAGCAGATGTGGTGAGTGAGCTCTTTTTCGTGGATCTTTGTGATTATCCACAAGCCTTCGAGTATGCCCTAACTACCCCATTGTTACCTCAGTATAGGCTCTTTATTTCCGGGGGTTGGAGTTGAGTGAGTTGTCTCAAGGCCATCTAGACATGGCGTATTCGCCTTAAGTCCTCAATGGCCATCTCCAACTCGGTCTTTACCATAGGTTGTTGAGTGGTTCTTGGTATGATGGTGAAGATGCTTGGTAATCATGGAGGTACCTTTGATAGGCATAGAGAGGTGGTTTTTCTTCGTACCCGGATCCTTGGCTAGCACCAGTACTAGAATTTTCAAGATAACACCAATTCGGTGGTTGGCGATCTCCCCATTTCTCATGCAACCCATATGGATCCATAGCTACACCTAAACATTATCTTTATTCACAAAAACAACCTATGAAAGCAAAAGTGTAAAAAGAAAAGAAAACATAAAATGAACAAACAATTAACACAAGATAACTAAAGAGAACATAACAAAAGAAAGAAAATACAATATCACAAACAAAAAACAAAAGAAAAAAGCATCAAAGACTTGATGCTACACAAACACAAAACACAAAATATTACAAAACAACGCCAAACAATGCACACAACAAATGATTACACTAGTAGTTCTCGGTTATTCCTAATAAGCTCCCAGGCAACGACGCCAAAAACTTGATCGCTTGCGTGATCGAGCTTTAAATTTTTAAGTCGATGCACACTCTCTATTCAATCCTAACTAAACTAAGCATAACTTAGCTAGGGTTGTAGTAAAGTGCATCGGTTGTATTCCAAGGGAACCCTAAGCTTACTATTACTTCACTTTGAACTACTATCTAATCGAATCAAAGGTTTTGTTGAAGAATCTAATCTAACCTACTCCTAAAGGCAAAATAAACAACCAACCAAGTGGTTGGGAGACTGCTAGAATTGAGATGGTTTCCTAAGGCCAAATCCTCCTAGCTATGGTTATCATGTTGGGTTAAGCAATGTGATGAGTGAGCTCTTTTCCGTGGGCCTTCATGATTATCCACACGCCTCCGAGTACGCCCTACCTACCCCATTATCACCTCGGTATAGGTTCACGTATCTGAGGCTTTAAGAACCTAACTCCTTTCAATGGGTACTACCCACCGTCCACACCAAGATTTCATCCCGGGTTCCATCTAGGAAGGCATTCTTGTGGTAGGGTTCGATCATCTCGTCCACCACAAGACCCTATTCATTCATTTAACCCTAATTTGCCAGATGACGCATACCCGTCCAACCGTAAAAATTCATACCCAGCGTAGAAGCTCAAGTAGTCTAGCATAAAAGATTAGGGCGACTTACACGAGCACAATTAAAGTGGATGAAGCGTTAAAATCAACTAGATAAACACATTCATTCAAAACCCATACATACACAATCTATAAACTAGGGTTCATCTTCCCTAAACAACCATTAGAGAATCAAGTCATAGAGAGCGAAAGTAAACAAAAACTAGAACTGAGGGAGTGATGGAATCAATCTTATTCTCCTTGCTTGCACCTTCTTATTGTTCCTTGGGTGGATTGGATCTTCAATGAAGCTCTCCCAAGGTGTTCCCCTCTCTAAAACACTCCAAAACTCTAACTTTCTCACTCTGGATCGCTCTTGCCGAGTGCAGAAAAGGGAGTATTTATAAGCTACTGGTAGTGGTTACGACCTCAAGGACGTGATCCGATGGTCAAGGTTGTGACCTAGTCGTGACCATCCTGGAACATCTTCAAATCGACCAAAATGACGTGTTTTATCCCTCTTCAAGTTCCAAGATCGCGTCCTCCTTCATGAGATCGCGACCTCCTTCACAATAAGCACGGAAAAAGAGACAAACGCAATAGGCAATCGCGGATCACCTCCTGGTGGGGGGAAATAGTTGCGGTGATTACTACTTGGCCGCCCGATTACTACTTGGCCGCCCTTGTCGATGTTGTCCTCTTGGTTGCTTAGAGCGCACATACTACAACAAGAGCGAATGCGTCCTCATCGCATATCTCGATTAAGCACTCATGCTGCGAAAGAACTACCTCGATCGAAAACCTACACACCAACTCCTACCACGCCAGTCTTGTCACATTAATTACCCGGCCACTTACCATGGTGGAGACTATAAATAGAGCATTTACTTTATTTACCAAGAAAGAAATCAGCTTTTTCCTACCTTCTCTCTAAGACGAGTGAATTCTCTCCTCATTGAATATCATGCTTTCTGTGTCCCTTATTCAATCTATATTAGACTCCTACTATACCAACCTAGTTCTAACACTTATTATATTTGATGTATCAACCTAGTGCATATATTCGAATTAGATTTTAAAATAGTAATAATTTTCGTAGCAAAAATTTGATCAACTTGTAATATAGCATACCAAAAGCCTACCCGTTTAGCTGTTCATTGAAAACTTGCCCACACCATTTTCGAAAAATCATATCTACACTTCTTTAACATAAGATAAAAATCATCTTTGAATGTCAACAATGCATGTATTATCCACAATGCATCATTTGGTTTTGATGATTGTTTAGTTGGAGTATTTATAGGTTGCTGGTAGCAGTCACGACCTCGAGGGCGTGACCCGATGGTCGCGGTCGTGACCTAGCCGTGACCAGCTTGGAACGTCTTCGAATCACCCAAAACGATGCGTTTTATCCCGTCTTCAATTTCCAAGATCGCCGCCTCCTTCATGAGATCACGACCATGATCTTAGTGTCACAGACGTGATTTTTTTCGCGGTCGAAAAGCACTAAAACCGCAACTCGTGTGTCGATACTTTCTGCCTTTAACGACTACATACCTTCTGAAGTTCTAGGTTACTGTTCACGGGTCATAGTGCACCACGTGATCATCTCTTAAAGCAACCGTCAGACAAAATTGTCGACACCCCACCTTCTAGCGCGGTCTCGACTAGGGAGGGGGGGGGGGGGGGGGGGAGCAAACCCGCCATCTGGTAAAGCAGATCCCTGCACTTCCCTAAGGAGCAACAAGTCAAGCTCCCTCGCATTGGGACCACAAAAGACTAAACGCGGATCGCCCCTTGCCGGGGGGGGGGGGGGGGGGGGGCAATCTTTACATCCCTAGAAGGAAAAACAACGAAACAAGCAAGCAAAGACGTGTGACACGATAAGCATGACAAAAGAGACAAACGCAAGAGGCAACTGCGGATCACCTCCTGGTGGGGGGCAATAGTTTGGGTGATTACTACTTGGCCGCGTTTGTCGATGTTGTCCTCTTGGTCGCTTAGAGCGCGCATACTACAACAAGAGCGAATGCGTCCTCAACGCATATCGCGATTAAGCACTCGTGCTGCGAAAGAACTCCCTCAGAAACCTACGCACCAACTCCCGCTACGCCAGTCTTGTCACATTAATAGAGCATTTACTTTACTGAGAAGGAAATTAGCTTTTTCCTACCTTCTCTCTAAGACGAGTAAATTCTCTCCTCATCGAATATTATGCTTCCCGTGTACCTTATTCAATCTGTATCAGAATCGTACCATATCACCCTAGTTCTAACACTTATTATATTTGATGTTTTGGGAAGATGCCTAATTACTTTTGGCAGCACCGCATTACTTAAAAGAAAAGATTCTCAAAATAGATCCATTAAATAAATAACTCTATGGGGGAAAAAGAAGAAGCCAATCACTCTATGATAGTATGGAACTAAATTACATACTAATTACTGTAGAAAATTTAAATGTACTGTCACTTTGTACTGTTACGTTTGGATTTGATTCCGCCCCCCCCCCCCCCAAAATACAAAGCTCAGTAATTAACGAGGCGAAGAAAGAGGAGAGCGTTTGGAAGATCCAAACATCTGGTCGAGAAGGATAACAAAAGCCATCGCCAAAGGAGTGTCGATCATGTTGGGGCGAACAACGAGGCGGAAGACATCAAACCCAAAAGCAACAGTACCACCGCCGAACGCCGCCTCCTTCTGCCGGATCTCCGTCGCGATCCGCCTCTTGGAATCGTACATTCTGCAACATCTCTGACCATAACATCCTTCTATCTCGTACGCTATGTTGCTGTTGTTGTTGTTGCCGCAACGGCTCACCTGTGCCAAACATTTGGAATTGAGTACTTTCTTCCTGACGCACAACTTGGGATTCGTGGTCGTTTCACCCTCGAACACCAGCCAACTATCCGTCAGGCTCATCCTCTATAATTAGACGGGGAAAAAAAGGAAGAAGTATATTATTAGTCATCCGTAGAAAAAATATGGAGATGTAAATGACTAGCTAGTAGGGCATTAATTACCTTGCGGCGGATGGTGAGGAGAGGCTTGCCGGCGGCGTCCATGAGAAGGATCTCGCCGTTGCTGCCGGAGGCTGCCATGTAGTTGTCGACCCTGAACACGAGGTTCCCTCTGGCATCGAACACCGTAAAGCCGTTGCAGTTGAAGAGCAGCGACTTCTTCCACACCGTCAGCACGACCTGCTCCGACGGTGACGAGTCGTCGGCGACGGCTGAGCGATCGTTTGACAACCGGGGGAGCTGGTTACGAGACCACCGCGACGAGGAATGGTGGGTTGTTGTTGGAGAAGCCGAGTTTGGGTATACCTTTGTCATATCCCACACAATCCTTCTGGAGCAAAAGAGAGGGCAGTGTTTTTGAGGGACGATGGTTGAGGAGCGAGTAGTTGGTGAGACAAAAAAGTAAACACTTAGCCTCCCATCGCCGACGTTTTATATCCAAAAACGCAAAGGCAGGCCCACAAGTTACATATTGGTATTGGTGGCTTACGACCCACGAGACGGCTTCTGTCACACTCCAATAGTCGTTTTTTATTTTTTTATTTTACGACTTACACTCATTCATTATTTGTTCCTTTCATTTTCCTGAACCGACCATACGGAATTATCACTTTCAGTTAGGTCAATCTGGCCGGCCATGATTCCCAATTCCAATTCCCATTCCCATTCCCCATCATATTGGGTTGGGGAAACCGAGTGTGATTTACTGTTGTTGGTTACACGCGTATGTGACAACCTATTTGTCATCGGATGCATATTCAATATATGGTCGAAAATTATAAAAACCCACGATGGACAGTCATTAGAGCATTTGAAGATTTCATATATGATGGACATTTGAGGTGAAGATAGGTGCATAACCTATCAATAACTAAATATGTACCCTTCATTTAGAAAAATCAGATCTAAAGACGAAGAATTAAATGTTATTTTTATTTTTCCTAGTTTTCTTAATCGGCTCATATCTTCTTCGTTTTAATTCGTTTTTTTTTTGCACTGATGGGAACTAGTTCGTTGTGCTCTACAAAAGGAGATACATTTTCAATATTTTTGAGAAAAATAAATTCTTGCCTCTCGGTACCAACTGCATACCATATGATATATTCTTCGTTTTTAATTCGTTTTTGAAAACGTTTGCACAGAATGAACGAGTTCATCATGATCTATTGGATCTACAAATTTCTGGGTGGACAAATTACAGGACCAAAAAATACCACACAATACCATACAATACCACCCTGGTACGGGGTGATATCTTGTGGTACACAATGTTAAAAGTCGTAAATGACAGGTAATATACTTCTACTATCATGTATTCAACCATCCTACAGTCTTGGTTTGTTCATACCACCATGGTACACTTTTCAAACCATAGGTATGCTCTTATTTCAATACCAGTCAATACCATATGATATAGACTGGTAAAAAATGACTCAATTTTTTTTGTTCGAAAAATATATCAAAGTTGATATCATTTTGAAGAGCACAATTAATCTGATCTAACTCTGCAAAAAAATATTAAATTTCGACTTAAAACGAGTGAGAAATCGTCTGTCGAAGATTAAGGAGGGAAAATTTTAAGGCTTTTAGGAGAGAGAGAGAGAGAGAGGGATGCTGATGTTGACGAGTTACTCATGGTTACTCATCATAAGGTTACTGACGTGATCCGTTGCCGACATTTAGATAGTAACCTGTACGGGGTGGCAAAGGGTTCGACTGCGTATTATATTCGAATTATGATGATTTTAAAATAATAATCATTTTCATAGCAAAAATTTGATCAAGTTGTAATATAGCATATCAAAATCCTACCCATTTTGCAGTTCATTGAAAACTCGCCCGCACCATTTTCGAACAATTATCATATCTACACTTCTTGACATAAGGTAAAAATTGTTTTAGAATGTCAATCTTAAATTGAGATTTCTTTGACACATTGTTTGTAAAATCAAGAAAGAATGAGAAGGATCTATGATTTAAAAGATATATATTATGTTTAAAGAACATGAATGACTGAAGTGAAGAATCAAGAGCGTTTAGAACATAATTAAAACATAGATGAACGAGCTCTATGAAATACTATTGATACAAAATAGCATCCAAATGATTACTTTTCCTATTAGATTAAAAAAAATCATTCTTCATAAACTCTATTCGAAATCGATTAGATATCTGCTAATTGCTATCAAAGAAAAGCACAACCCAATTAAAAAATACACCCGACTGTATAGTGCTCCCTGCGTCGTTCGTCTTCCTACACATCATTATCGCACCACCATCGTAGGAAAAAGATGCCTCTTCTTATCTCTTTTTTTTGGTTAAAAAGCCTCTTCTTATCTTTAAATGGAAGCGAATATAAAATCATTGGATGTGCATTGTGCGCCACCCCGCAACTCCAACGCCTCCTATTAAACTAAAACGGAATAAAGACTTCTTAATCTTACCCACTTTCTGTTTGCTTTCATTCCCAGAGATAAGATTTATGTTTAGAATAATACTCTTAGCTTAGGTTGTATCTGTTACTTTGTTTAGCATAAAAGATATCAGATATTTATAAGTTTTTGGATTATAGAAATAGGGTTTGTGGCTGAGAACCAATTTGCGGTGCAGGAGTGGGCCCAACTACTTCCCTTGGTCAGAGAAGAAGAATTTTAGCTACGGAGATGAATGACAAAACAGAAAATTTTGGATGAACAGATGTTTTATTTTTTTAAATTTTTGGGCAAGAGAATGAATATAGTATATGCTACTCTTATCCTCGGTCATTCATCAAAGTTTTATGGCACATTTTGAACAATCTATTGCAAAAAAGAATTATACATCTCTTCCACTGTCGAGCTCTTACTCTGGTTTTTGCGCTGACAAAGAACAACGAGACAATTTGGATTGCACACTTGTATTATGTGCTCGACAGTCTGCACTTTAAATAGAGAAATCACTAAAATGTTGACTAAAATGTGCTCGACAGTATGGGAGTCACTCGACAGTCTGCACTTTTTAGGATAAGTCGATTTTTTCCATGCAACCACTGCCTTCAGTATCATTCCAGAAGTGACTCTCCCATAGAGAATCACTACACAAACGTCGAGGCTCCTCCGTAATCACTGCCATAGGCAACATGAACACATCCATCCAATAGTGAGAGACGATATACATCACAGAACTGACTAACTTTAGTCTAACAACATAATTCAATGACTTTGCTTGTCTTCCTTGTATTCTTCTTGTGATGGCTCCCTATTCGAGTTATCAAATCCTACTCAAGTACAGTACTTGGAGATGCATACCAACAACTAACCTATGCAGTTGAGCCAATCACAATTAACTCCCATGATTGGGTAAAACCCACTACGGCACTAAGAATCTAATCACACTCGTTCATAGACCCCAAGTGATGAATTGACAATGCTCAACCTAGGGAGATATTCTCTTTTCTAGTGCACTTAGCCCCAAATTGAGAAAAGTGATCAAGAACTATCATTATTATTAGAATAATTAAGGCGTAAGTAACCAAAAAACAGCAACACTGTTCCTTACGAAAACACACTAATTACCATAAGAGTATTCTGAATCACTGTTCATCCGTGTAATTTTTCGCCTGCGGCAGATCTATGCTATCTCCCATAATCCCGTGTGCGGCAAACCAAGTAATTAACCGTTGCTAAATTTCTATCCGCCCGATGGCCAAAGAAATAGAGAGAGACAAAGGAAAAAGCATCTGTAATTGCTGCTGAGAATTGAGAGAGAGCTTCCTCTCCCATCTCTTCTCCTTTCTCTCCTGTTTGGTTTTCCGTCCTTTCTCTCCGACGACGACTTGCGGCTACAAGAGAAGATGTCTTTTCCCCCTCTCCCAAACTAGCTACAAACGCCAATCAGGGGAAATCGAAACCCCTAGGCCGCAATTTTTCACCGCCATAGCAGTTTTGATCTTGATGATCATCGCCTTCCAAATCAAGTTGGGCCTAGAGTCCATCTTATTGTAGCATCCAGAACACGTCCTTTCACCTTCTCCCGTATCAACATCTTCCCGGGAGGTGGCTGATTGAGTACGGCGAAAATAGACTTCCGCAGCCACGCTCTGCGTAATTGGAAGAGGGTAATCATAAGTCCCTTTTTTCCCTTTATAACATAGAAATTCGAGCACTCTGATTTGTTGCTGATGGAATTGGCTAATCAGAAGAAGACGAGGGTACATTGCATTCATTGATGAGTTCAATTGCATGCAACATACCTTCTTTGTTTCATCGTTCAACATCATGCTGCAGTGAAGATGAAGGTTGAGGAGATGACGTCGTTGAAAGGTAATCCAAAGAAAGATGCATAGAGAATTGCATGATGATGGAAAATAAACTTCTGAATTCTATCTCAATATAAGAGATGAATGGACAAACTACACATGATTTAAGAGAAATTGCATGTGATATCTTGATAGTGGGATATTGATCAGTTGAAGAAGCATAGAAGAGAAACTGCTGGTTGGAGAAAAGGATTATAACTGTTTTTACTCATTTTCTTCTTGCACGCAAAGCATAAAAATGGAGGCTCTGGTTTTACTAATAGCATTATTGTCCTTCTTATGTGCATGTGCTACACGTTGCAACAAATGAATGCCACTTGACACCTCCATTAATATTTTTATTGTTTTTTTATTAGTCAATATCACGGTTGTCAAACCGGTTTATACTGTCGTGTCGATTTAATAAGTGGTATTCCGAGTAACCGACCTATGTCAGTTTAACAAAATATGTAAAATTGTAACAAATTAATAATATCAAATGAATAAACATATATAAAACATATTTGAAGGAAATCTACTTAGAATATACATTCATATGTAAATAAAATACATTATTTCAAAAAAATAACAAATACTCATATTTAACCCGCGCTTTGCGGCGGTAAGATTTACGTAACTGATATATACATGTTTAATTGACATATAAAAAATAGCTATTAGATCATGCAAGAGGAGAGACGGAATTAAAACAGGTTGCATATAGGCAAATGCTCTAGAAGATTAAAAGTAATTATTGATAAGGCAAAAAAGGACTTTGAGGTTGCCCAATATATTTGGGACAAAGAAAAAACCCAGAAAATAAAGTCAAAGATCTAAAGCCCTCTAAAGGATTTATGTAATGTATTAAAATTTACATTACTGATATAAAATGATGTTATGTAAATTTTATTTAATGTATGATCTAATAATAACATCAAGAAAAAGAAACACATTTTATTTAATGTGCTTAAATCAATAATGTTATTTGGATAATTACCGAATCTAAAATTTAGCTTCATATATGACGGTTTAATGTTAATAAAACGAACCAACTAAATTGTGTATTGTCGGATCATTGTGTTTCAATTGAAGAACTTCATACCCATTTAATTGACAATGAACAAATGAGAGAGAGAGAGAGAGAGAGAGAGAGGAGGCTTGATAGAGTGGGAATGATGATGGCGATCAGTTGTGGGGTTTGCTTAATATAGGGATGGGAGAGGGACAGGGACAGAGAGAGGGGTTGATGGGTCTATACTGTAGATAGGGAAGGAAGTGAATGACAATGGGCAAAAAGTAACTGCGAATAGAGGAAGGGGTGCCCGCAAAAAAAGGTAGCGGGCATGAGCTGTCACCGTTTTTTTATGTACAATCAACGGCCAAACTTGCTTTGCCTAATGAGGTGTACTCAGGTTTATATAAAAACGCCCACATGTGATTATAAAATCCTTTAGTGAACAGTAAATTCCGATTTTTTCTTAAGGAACAGTAACCTCGTTTTTATGGTAATTTTTAAGGACTTGTATTTTAATAATTCTAATATTTACCGTCAATAGTTAAACGTTTATACTTGATACCAACAAACAACATCAATATTTAACTTTCATATTTTTTAGATAAATCACAAATTTTGTTGTTGATTAACTTGACTAAAATGAAGTAATTTTGTTTAGAGACTGCAACTCGATCATATCAATTATATTGGTGGTATTCCAACCGATTTCATGACCAACGCCGATTATATTAGGTTCAACCGATACGTATTCCACCGACGTCACAATATCACTAATTTTGATATTGAATGCTCTAGCTACTTCCTTTGGGTAGTGTTTTTTTAAACTTTTTTCATTTCTATCTCAATGTATGAGATTTTGCTTCATATGAGTTAGTGAATTGCACATATCGATGGTTCCATCATCCTTTAAGCAAAATCAAAGGTATACCTTGAATAAGAAAATGATTTATAAACCTTAAATTGATCGGAGTTTGGGATATGGTGCTGTACAATACTCCTTAACGATTAAATCTGAGCCCTAATTCTATAAATCTCATACACTAAGATCAATTTGATTACTCAAAACAATCAATGGTCATGATTCGTCAAAATATATGCATCATTTTGAGGTTTAAGGTCTATGATGATTTAGATAACTAAGACCTAGAATTCACTCATGAAGAGTTAGGGTATAGTATCATGTCCTAAAATCCGGTTAATTCAAAGTGTAGATTTCATTTTGTTACACAAGATAGACTATACCTTTAATTTTACTCAAGGTACGATAAAAGTCACAATATATACAGCTTAATATCAATCAAACTCCTAATTTCCAATATCAAATAATAGTGGAAATCAATTGTAATTTTTAGCTTGAGAATATTTTGAATTTCAAAATTAGTTTTGAATTTTGTTGATAACGTATCTGTATAAATCAAATTTATAATCAATTACTATCATTATTAATCAAATGTGATTATTTTCACCATCCCTTTAAATGCGATAATGATTGTTTCACTTCGATAACACGAGTTAGTTTCGAATGATTGTCTCCATATTTCTGACTATGTGAAATATATTGGATAAGATTGTCTATCCGCCGCGAAGTGCGGGCCACATAACTAATTTTCATTAAAGATAATATGATAATAAATATATAATAAAGAATGCAGATCAAGGATAGGATTCCCAAACAATCACTTAAAACCTACTAACTATGGTTCCATAACACCCTTGTGAAATGGAGAACTATTCCATATCTAGGAAGTCGGAAGAGACATACATCCAAAAGAGGAAGACAATCATCATAGGAAGAAGATCTTGCTCTTTGGTTGCTTTTGGTGGTGAAATCTAGCCTCCAAAAATTTTAGGATGCTGCAAATCTCCTCGAAGAAACTAGGTTACATCACTCTCTCACTAGAATGGAAGAACAACTCTGATTTCTCTCTAAAAAACAACTCCATTACGCAAAATGGCTTAAAACCCGAGAAATAGCCTTTAGTGTGCGGTTCACCGTGAGAATTAATACCTATTCGTGTACGCAATCAAAGATGACGCCATTTTGGTCAAGTTCACGACCAAGTCGTGAGACTGGTCAGATTTTCTATGGGAATTTGCTCCCTCACACCACCGGTGTTGTAGCTCTCATGACCAGGTTGGGACCTAGATCAGCTAGTCGTAACTGATGCATTTCCTTGTGCACTTTTGTCCAGTTTTTTCCTAATTGGTCCGACATCCGTCCTTTTTCATATTTACCTGCTATAACTTAGAATATATACAAACAAGTGCAAGCTAACGTAAAATAAGTTAAGGGAGCATTTCGAATCAAGCTAAATGATAAAAATATATTAACGAAAAAACATGTGTATTTAAGACCAAATAAAAGAAAAACGTGAAGAAGAAGTTAATGAACAAATTGGGAGAATAGAGAAGATGGTTCGGAGGAGATTCTTCCTTCAGCTGAGAATGGGAAAATGTGGGTGGAGGAAGAAGAAGAGAGGTAAGTTAATATTTTTATTTTTATAGTGGATACAATCCTTCCAACTAAAGTGTTTTTGCTCAAATAATTCTCACAACCACATCTAAACATTATCTTTGTAATATGGGAGATAGTGACGTGACCTGATGTATAAGCAACAATTTACATAACATAAAACGCTTCTTGTTGAAAAGATTTAAGAAAATACTTCACTACAGTTGTCAATTCATGGGTCGGCCTATTGACCCAATTTGAGTCAGACTTGGTAAGAAAAATAGGCAGCACACACATATTGGGTTGACCGCTGCATGGTACCGCGTTGGAGATCAAACTGTGTTCTTTTTTCCTTTGGTTTTCGAAATGTGTCTATTTTTCGGTTTTCTTTTTCGCCTAAGCCAATCTTTAGAATTTTAAGTTGAATGTTTTAATATTGATTTTATATAAGTGTGTTTGAATTTTCACAATATGTAGGATCCAAGTACGACATGTTATTTTGATGCGCTAGTTTAATAAGCAATATGTTGTCGGTGGGCCAAGCTCCTCAGGCTTCTCTCCCGGTGGTACAACAGCTGGGTCCGGTAGGACCTAATATGGTTGTTTGTATGTGGGATGGGGCTACTAGGAGTGGATCTCATTCGGTTGGCGGGATGGTTATTTTGAACCCGGCTAGGGATATCCTTTTGGCTAAGGGGATTCAATTTTCGGTAATTGATGATCCTGTGGTGGTGGAATTGCTCGTCCTCCGAGAAGTAATTTTATGGTGTTTGGACCATTGATTCAAGGAAATCAGATTCGAAGGTGATGCCAAAGTGATCATCGATAAATCAATAAGGCGGATACCAACGATAATCGGATGGGTGCTATTCTCAAGAAGTTCTGCAGTATTTTGTCATCCACTCTGGGTTTAGTGTTCGATTTGTAGGTCAGCGTTATAATTGGGTAGCCCATGTGGTGGCTAGAAAGGCCTTTCATTGTACCCGAATATGAGTCGTTTCTTTGATTTCCAGACCTGGCTGAATTCCAGGTGTAAGTATCTATTTTTTCAATCAATATATGATTATCTTTTGTAAAAAAAAGTACAACATTTTATTTTGCTGTAATGTTATATGTTATTACTCATGTGTTAGAGGAGATTTGATATAATTTATAAATGTATAAACAATATAATAGCTTTTTTCATATATCTAGAATAAAGCGGACTAAAGCGGTCGGACCGTTAACTCTTAACCTACTTACTCGATCGAACCAAGGCGCGAAATCCGGTTGAAAACCATGTATTTCAAATACATTGTTGATATATAAAAGCCTTGGTTACCACTACTATTCATTAGTGGCCCCCACTCTCTCTTCTGTGACTGGGCAAGCTCCACTCGTTTCTTCAGCATTTGACCATGTGTCCTTCTTCTCCACTCATACAAAAACACAGAACACCTTATTACCCAACTCGCCGACGATTGAACTCTGGGTTTTCGCTTTATCCGGCGGACAACCAAGCACAACCCTTACATGCATGCTTATTAGACCTGGCAAGAATAATCAAATCCATTAAATCAATCCAATCCATTTAAATTTATCCAAATCCATTTAAATTGATCCAAATCCATTTAGTCCAAATCCATTTAATCCATGGATAGATGGATTCATGGATATCCACTAACCTAAATTGTACGGTGTCCAAAAAGAAAAACAAAACATATCTATTTACCCTTATTCTAACAAAAGACTCGTCGCCTCCAAATTTGAAATCCAATTCTGAACACCACTAGTTCGCACAACGTCGGCGGCGTCTTTGCCGCCTCTCTGTCCATCTTGAAACCACCGGCCTCGTCTTCTCCCATTCCAAACAACGGTGACAGAGTGATTGTTGTTCTCCCAAGGTCACCGTCGACAGCGTCTTCGCCGCCTCCCTCCCTCTCTATCTCGAAACCCTCCTCGTCGCCTCCTTCACCAAGTCAGAACTCGCCTTCCTCTCCATTCGTTTCCCGTCCAGCTCCATCAAGGAAGGTTAATCACTCCATTCGCCCAAACCCACGAAGAAATTTTGTTCGCCTTCTCCACTCCGCCGTCTCAAAGGTACAACATGTACTTCTAATCGAATCTCTTCACCATTGTTCCTGTGAATGCCTAGTTCCTGTGATTGTATGTTCTGGGATTACTTATGCATATCTAATTCAAGTCTGGGCAATCATTTTTAGTCTCTGGTTTTCTGTAGATGACTAGAGATGGAACTCACCTCCATTGTGCAACTTTGTGGGGACTGTTGCTGCTGTGTAATTTGAATTGTCAACATCCTGTAGTCTCATCAAGAAAATGGCTTTACACAATTTATATTGTAGACACCATAAATGAGAGGTGGCTGCTCTTTGTAGGGTTCTTCTTCCTTGTGCAGTCCCTCGCAAAACTGACATTCTGGTTTTGTTGAGGGCTTCCTTTTGATTGCTTTGCTATTCATATTCTTGGATGGCTTCCTATTGTAACCCTAAGGGACAGTTTGATTAACCTAGAAGATACCTTCATCTTGTGCTAACAATGTGATTGCTCTGTAGTTTGTTGTAGTGTTTGGGTTTTTATATAGTAAAGTAGAATAGGAGCCTTATGTTTGGAGCTTGGTTTAGTTGCAATTTGGATTAGTTGCTAGGTTTAAATTGTTGCTGGAACTTGTATTTCAATTGTTCCAGTTGTGCATTCATAACTAAGTCATGGAATTGGACTGATTTCAATATGTCAAGTCAACTAATGAATGTTATGGAAAATAATGATGGTAGTAGTTCCGGAGATGAGGCTGATTTTGCAACAATGTCGACGTCTACGGGTGGAACAAGTGATCAAAGAAAGCGACAAAGAACTTCTAAGGCATGGGAGACATTTACTTATATCCCTGGGAATCAGTTTGCAGACAAAAAATCAAGAGCACAATGCAAAAACTGTCTCAAGCTTTATTTGGGTGGTAAAGGTATTTCTAATCTCACTCGTCATAGTCGTAAGTGTATTGGACGTGCAATTGAAGTGCTAGTGTCGAATGTTGGAAAGGCTGCTGATTTTACTCCTATTTCAGATGAATGATTGAAAACTGAACTTGTTTTTGGACCCATACTGACTTGGTAATTGTAACTTGGTTTAACTAGTACAACATACTGACAATTTGAGAACCTTTATTCTTAGAACTGTTCAGCTCTCTAGAAAGACAAACACTGAGATCGTTTCACAATTTGGTTCCTTCCTATGTTTGGGATCCAAGTAGAGAAGCATTAAGAAATGAATGTGTGAGATTTGCTTGATCTAATAAGAATATGTGACTAAAGTTGTGGAGGCAGAATGGCCAGGGGAAAACATGTCTATTTAGCTGGGGGTGGCGGCTTATCTTTCTTGGCTGCTACATCGTCTTTATCTTTCCTTCCCTGCAGAATCATGGAAATCTGGAGGCCTCTGCTGAAAGCTTGGTTGAAGACGAAGAGCATCCGAGTTTGGAACTCGTTGACAAACGGGAACCAGGACAAGATGGCACTTGGGGAGAACTGACGGCGGACTTATTATCTGTTTCAGGTAGAGAAACAGACGGCGGAAATCAGAGAAGCAGAGGTAAAGGCGGGGAGACGAACGTTGAATCTGGGGTGAACATACCCTGGAATGGAGTCCGATCAGTCCGTGGAATGGAGCCGCCGTTGAATTTGGGTTCGGCGGTAATTCCTCTGTGTCCGGCAGCCACTTGTCATGCTCGCCATCATTCTTCTGCCGCCGGCAGACTCTGTTTCTCCACGTGCAATCGTTTCCAATACTGTAATTAGAAAAAAAAATTAACCTAAAATATTAATGAAAATTTACATTTTGGTACCTAAACTTTTTATTATAAAGTTGTAATATCTGAAGTTTTCAAAAGTTACATATTGATCCAATGATTTAGTTGTTACTTGGATTCATGGATAATCCACCAATCCATGAATCCACCAATCCATTGGATCTATAGATCCAACAATCCAATCCACTAATCCATTAATCAATCCATTTGCCACCCCCACCTCTAATGCTTATTCATGTCAGCTTTTTCACACTCACACTCAAGCTTTTTTCCTCTCTCAAACTCTCACCTGCCATGCTTTCGTTCCCCATCTCATCTTTTTTTAAGTTTTTTTTAGCAGCTTTTTACAAATCATACGCAACCTTCCTTACCTCTTCCCATTCTATGCTTTTCATCACACACATCCACATTTCAACAAACAAGGCTTTCTCTTCTTCCAACCATTCCTCTCCTTTACATCTACCTCCGGTGAGAAAAATCTCAGCAGATGATGAGAAGAATCTCGGCAGAATCTGAACTTACGTTCTTCTCATCGCACCCAGCACCCCTAAAACACTAGCCATTGCCCTCTTCTGCTCCTGCCTTCTGCACGCCACCTATCCCCCAATATATCTTCTTTCATTTGCTCGCTAGCGACATCGACAAACCTGTTGCCCTTCATGTAGATCTCTCTTTGAGGAATCCCAAATTCGCCTCCCTTAGCTTCCCCTAATATCACAAACCCGTACGGTAATCAACTTCGCTCAGCAATTTACAACCCACCTCCGAGCACCGGCGGGGAATCCCTTATTCTTTTCCCAATTTATTGCTGAGGAATTGCCTTAGATATGCTCTTTCCGTCTTTGCCTGCCCTTTCTTGCCTATGAGTCTTTGCAAGAAGATCCATGACTTGAAGAACTTAGCACAACAGTCAACAAAGAAGCTCCCGTCTCTCTGTTCACAAGAAACCGCCGAAGAAGAAGACAAGGATAGAATGATTCGGTTGAGATGAAGAAGGGGAAGGAAGAAGTACGCGGCCATTTGATACGTGTTGAAATCGTATGAGTGAATGAATCCCTTTTCTTGGCGGGATTAAGCCAGTTCTCTCTTTTCTTGGCGAGAAATTACCAGAGGTTATACTTACTAAAATTCTGCTTTTTGTTATTGAATCTAATCTCAACTTAAATACACCAAAAACTGGAATTGAAAAGGCTTATCTAAGTGGAGCTAATCCCACGTCTATCTATGCTAACCACTAACCATAAGATGCTAAACCCACTCCACCTATTATGCAAAACACTCCTAAATACTCTAACAAATACTTGACTCTTAACAACCATGCTTACCCACTACCACTACTAACCAGAACTATCAATTAAGTGCAAACCCTACAACAATAATCTTGGTACGAGGCTTTATTATGGGCTTATCATTACCACCCTCTGAAAAACGGCTTTGTCCTCAAGGCCGAGTTGAATGAAGCAATCATGGAAAATGTAAGAGAACATGCAGGTTGTATCATCCATGGGAAGCGGCCTTCCTTGACACGTTTCCATCCTCGATCCATACTAGTCAATTGGTTTAATCTATAAGTCAACTCAAATAGCTGAACCTGCCTGCCCATCACCTCCTATAACTCGTTCAACCCTTTTCAGCTCGTTCATTTTCTCCTCGAGCCACGTCACTTGCCTGCTCATAACCGTTGGCCACAATAGGTGCTTCCTGAAACGCTTCCAGTTCCTTTGTGAAACCCTCTCAATGATCACCCCTCCGTGGGTTAGAGTCTTGAAGGTCGGCTTGTGGGGATTTTCGGCCGAGGGGACCGCCGCCCGCATTGCTGTTGGGGGTAAGGACGCATCGACATCCATGGACTCATCGTTGTCATTGTCAGCAGCGACAGTTGCTTTCTCCTCGTGCTTCCACTTGTATATCTTGTCGTCGAAGACTTCATCAATGTAGCACGAATCTATGGTGCAGGGCATGGTTTCCCTCCACGTTGGTGGCTCTAGCTTCCCCTTTAGAAGCAGATTTTGGTCCCACTTCTTGACGATCTTAGCTATGTTACCTTGACCCTTCTTCTTTCTTTTCCACCAATTTAGACAGTAGCCATCAATACCAAACATTCCTAGAGAATTCTCACGTTTCTTCCTAAATCTCCAAGGGTTTATTTGACCCAATATTCTTCTGCCTCTATTGTAAATAACACATTTGGTGGTTATTCTGATACCCAGTGATAGGATGTACCCATTTATTTGTCGTGTACGACCCTTAACCAACAAAGTTTGCAGCTTTCCCACATGACGATGCTTTACGTCGAGGCTTGGTGAAAAAGGAGCGGTTAGAGCTGCTGGTTCAAGTGGTGATTCAAGCTCAATGACAATCGATGGTAGGTCTGCTGTGTGCACAGGGGATGCGATCGGCGAACTCAATAATTTTTCAATCTGCGGCGACAGTGGAGCAATGTCAACAACAACAGCAGCGGTAGGCATCCAATGCGGCGGAGCGACGAACAGGGGCGCAACGGGACTTGGTTGCAGGGTGATCTTCGCTGTTTCCATGGCGTCCAGGCTCTCGAGCGGCAGCGACGGTGCAATGACAGTCGACGGCGACGTTGTCGTGGGTGACAAGGTCGACATCGAAGGCGCAACTGATGCGGCGCCGTCTTCTTCTTCTTTCTCTACCGAATCGGCTACAGCTTCAGCTTGCGACCGTGGCGGTGCTGTCGATACAGGTGGGGTAGCGATCTCCACCTCTTCCATGGCTGTCGTGGTCTCGATTTGCGACGACGGTGGTTCGGAGGCACTCGTCGGTGCGACAAAAGGGAAGGACGACAACGGCGGTGCAGGCTTTGCGCCGTCAGCATCTTCTACATCGTCCTCTACCGAATTGGAAGCTTCAACTTGCGGCAGTGGTGCGGTGACTCTATCGTAGGCCTTGATGACTCTACGACAAGATGCCATCGCAATATCCAAAGATGTCATCATCTGATTGATGAGTTCATCTCTTGATGGTTTCTCTGAGTTCGTCATGATCGAAACACGGATCCCATGCTCTGATACCAAATGATAGGTGTTGAAATCGTATGAGTGAATGAATCCCTTTTCTTGGCGGGATTGAGCCAGTTCTCTCTTTTCTTGGCGAGAAATTACCAGAGGTTTTACTTACTAAAATTCTGCTTTTTGTTATTGAATCTAATCTCAACTTAAATACACCAAAAACTGGAATTGAAAAGGCCTATCTAAGTGGAGCTAATCCCACGTCTATCTACGCTAACCACTAACCATAAGATGCTAAACCCACTCCACCTATTTTGCAAAACACTCCTAAATACTCTAACAAATACATGACTCTTAACAACCATGCTTACCCACTAACACTACTAACCAGAACTATCAATTAAGTGCAAACCCTACAACAATAATCTTGGTACGAGGCTTTATTATGGGCTTATCACCATTTCTCCTCTCACCTCTCTCTGTGGCTGGAAAATAGTACGAGGGTAGGAGTACGAGGACAAGATGAGCCCTGCCACGAAAAAGGAAAAACAAAAAACTCAAATCTCCCCCATGTGTCTCGGCTCGGTTACTCGAGACTCGCTCGACGTCTTTGGTGTAGTTGTCAGCGACGAGCGCGGTGGTAAAGTTCCTGGAGAAAGGTTGCACAACTTTGATTTGGGAAGCAAGAGTTCAGATGGTGGTGGCGAGAGCATCGGCCGACGGGTTTCAGCTGTGGGATTCTGTGGGTGTGAACATCGACATCACTGCGAGCAAGCTGGTAGGAAAGTGCTCGAGATATGAAGTCTGGGGAAATAAGAGTTCTGAGGATTCACATTCAGCTGTGGGAGTTTTGTGCCGGGTAAAAACGATTGATGACAATTGCAACAATTGTTGTTCTTTTTCTCTGTATTTCCAAACTTGCTCTGTCATGAATGTATTTGATTTTCAGTCTTTTCACCAGGTTTGCAGGTGTTATGGTTTGGTCCACGACAAGGAAAAAGGATCTGGGTGAGTATTGAATAACCCCTGCATACACTTTCATAATAATATGATTCGATTGTAAACTTATATATTGTGGAGGTTCTTTGATGGATTCGTTTGCTTTTCTATGGATTTAGGGTTTACAAGATTCTCAACGAAAGATGGCAATAGATATCTATGAGATTCATGGCGGAGGGGAACCATATAAGAGGAATTTTGACAATCTGCAACTCTCCGTAGAGTCCATCTCTCTTTCTCTTACGGTTTGTTCCCAAAATTTGTGTTTTCTATCCTTTTTTTTGGTAATATTCTTGCTGCTACTGTCAACGATTTGGGGTTGTGCAAGTTTCTTTATATGATTTTTACTTTGAAAGCCAACATCACCTCTTTTTTTTCTTTCTTTTTTTGCCTTTTTACATGTGTAACTATATATTATTATAGCAAGTGTTCTTTCCGAGGCCATTATTATAGTTTCAACTGGAGCACTTAGAGTTAAGCTGTCTGAATATGATTGGGATGAATATTGGGGATACTGATTTGGAATTTGATTTTAGTTTAGTCATGCCTTTAGATAGCTCGATTTGGCTGCTGGTAGTAGTAACGACAAATTTCAAATTACTTATGTGAACCATCTAAATGTTTTGGGTTTGCTTCTCACCTACAGCTAAATGTGTCCTTTATTTTGGTGCAGTGTTTAGCAATACAGAATACTCCTGCTTATTACTTCATCGGGTGCTTGAAAAATACTAGGTTTACAAAGTGTAGTTGTGCATTTGACCATTTGTTTAGATATAATGATTAGAAACCCTGCCAGCTTCCCCGTTTCAGGTTACCCTCAACCCTTGCATTTCAGTTAACATGGTTTTTAGATTCTATTTGGCGAACATTAAATTGTTGATGTCTTATCTTTTTCTTTGAAACAGATCTCGAATTTGTCTCAATTGCATATCAGTTGCTTCGTTGTTGACACCCAATATTGAGTTGCAATAATCTGTAACTTATAGAAAACTAATTTTACTCTTCAGTTCTAGATTCGACCTGTCTAATTGTAGGTTGTGTAGTATTTAGATAAGCCTGTAAGTTTGGATCCCCATAGCTTTCGTCAGTTAGCCAATCTTGAGTAAAGAAAGTAATGAGTAAAGAAAGTAGTTCCTTAGAAGAGTCAATCATCGGCATGCATTAAAAGATCGTTGCTATGTGATTTTTCTAAGTTTAAATCTGGTTGTATATATGGGAGGCGAGATAATTGATTTCCCTTTCTGAAGCAACACAGACAAGATTTGCTAGCTAAGCTAAACCGTCTGGATAAACTGTGGTTACTTGGAAGTCTCTGAGAGCTATTACACTTAGTACAAAATTTGACAAATTTGCTGCTTCTAATCCTTACTCAACGATGCTCTGCTTTCAATATATTTTCCTTTCCTTTTGGTACCAGAATCGGCTGGTGTTAGCAGGGTGCATTGTTGAAATCTGCCTTTTATCTCTAGGTAATGTTTGGTACAGATTCGCAAACGTGTACTGCTGGTGCGTTCAACTAATTTGCTACTACTATTGACAAACCTGATGTATGTTACGCGTTGGGAATTGGAAAAAAAATTGCTCAAAGTATGCAACCATTTAAAGCTTCCCCTCTGACTGATCATATATAGGTTCAGTTCACCTTATAGTATGTTAAATAATTCTGACTTGATTAGCAGCTTATTATCATTCTTGAACAATTAATGGAAAGGGATGTGGTTCGTACAAGAGGAGATTGAAACAAAGAGACTACTTCCTCATGTGGAGGATGAACTGAAGAGCTGTAGTTAGGAGATAGCAACTGAACATAGGGAATTATGTCCTCTCTTAACTGAACAAGAATACAGCCAATAAAGGTTGCAACGGATTTTTGAGTCTTTTCTTGCTTGATTCTTATTGCTTGATTCTTATAGTATCGTATAGTTCTGCTAGGTTCTATAAATTGAGAGAACTCCATCTTGGCTTCAATTAACATGGTTCGAGACTCTAGACCTTTTTCCTGCTGTGTCTCAATCACTTAATTGTGATTTTAATTTTCCCCTGTTAGGTTGCTAACACAGGCATGGCGGTCTATTCAGCATTCAAGAATATGTTGTTATTTTGAGAGTTAGGTCGGCTGATGGTTTGAAGTTTCATATTCAAAATGAAGATTACATTTACGAAAACTACACAAGGAACATTGTATACACAGAAACATTTGATGAGCTTGGTGGTGAATCATGCTCTATTCCTCCCAATTCTGGAAGATTGCCTGCACCCAATCGTTGGTACACTAGCTTTATATGTTGCCACTTACAAATGCTTACTCTTTAACCATGATAGGGATGCCTGCTACTTGCTGCAACGTTCCACAGTGACACATTCATGCCTAAAAGTTTGGTTCTTTTAGGTCATATAAGTCATTCTTGCTTTCTTTCAAACTGATACTTCTTACCTACAGAACCGAAGGCCCTTTGTGCGTTTGGCTATTATATAAATGTTATCTGCAAAGTTTCCCTATATTCTGTGTGCAACCAAATGTTATTGTTTTCACATCCTCGGCTGCTGCATTATATGCTTCATAACCAGTTAGATTTATGTGATTAGGCATCTTGAAATCCTAGGATACATACTTGATGATTGTATGGTTGGTGTTCGAGTCGTCCTGTTAATTCCAGGGTACGTTTTGAGTATGCCTTCCCATTATCCAGTGCTCATTCTCGGTTTTAGAGTTCTAATATACTGGCAATTCCATAGTTGTTGAATTGCTTAGCCTTTTGTTCTTTTATCTGTTCCGAAAAACAATACTGCTGCTGCGGCCCAAGCTATATAAAAAGACCACAGCTCGGCTGTTGCGCCCCACCATCTATAAAAAGTGAAAACACCAACACTGCCTAAAAACAGGAACACAACCCACCAACAAAGACCACCAATCCAACAAACACCGACTTCTCATGAGAAATAGAATGACTAACCATATTGGAGTTAACTTATGCTATGTTCATCCAGACAGGTAATATGAGCGAGCGCGAGTGGATCCTTGCTAGTTACGATTGAAATACATCTATCCAAACGCACCCTAATAAATTTTGGCTTGTGGCACCAAAAAACTCTCACTAGCAGCGTTTTTCCCCAAACTCGGATATTCTAGAAATTAAGTTATGCTATTTGCTTGTTCGGCTTCTCCAGAATGATGATGATGATGAGATAAAGTATATGTTATCTCTATAACGTTTGTTTCTCTCGTTTGTCCTTAAGCAAATAATCATTTGGAGACGAAATTGCACGTCAAGATATAATGTTTCGAGAAGGTCGAGATCGATCATGTTCCTGTTACTGCTATGAACAATTTGGGTCCAAGGTTTTGCATCACTGACGAGGGAGTCCATTTTGGAAGTAGTTCGATAATGATCCACGACATTGAAATGAAGACTACTAGAACTAGCTAGCCGAGGGGGAGAAGAAGAAGAAGAAAAAAAAAAAGGTGCGGGTTGGACGCACACAACTTAAGCCCAGATTGCTAGTAGGGACATAAATCCAGCGCCTAGAAGAAGAGCAATTTGAACTCCGATCTGAAGTCGCCCACTGGCTTGTACTTTTGGGTGCATGAAATCGGCGGCCAACAGATCAACGAGCGCCATGTAAATCAAAATTCCCGACGACGCCGAGTTGAAGACACCTTCCACTATGAGAGCCGTTGGACTGTTCTCTTTGTAGACGTTTGAAATCCCCATGCCGATTCCGATTCCAAGCGGAGTGGTGACGGAGAAGAAGAGAACCATCATTGCGACACCTCGCGATTTGAACTTGGCCTGAGCAATGCAGCCTCCAAGACCCATTCCTTCGAAAAATTGATGAAACGTCAGAGCAGCAAGCAAAGGCCTCACCGTCTTGGGACTTTCCGATGCGCCCAATGAAATGCCGATGATAACCGAATGCACCACGATTCCGACCTCCAAAACCTAACACACCAAATCAAACTCAATCATTCTATTTTATCATATTTCAAATCCTAATTAGCTTAGCTACTCAACTCACTTGCGAGATGACTCGGTGGCGAATGAGTTGCGCCTCACCGGAACTCGGGCCCCCCGCCGCCGCGGAGATAGCGCCGTGCGAATGGCCGTGAGTCGCATGCGTGTGGGCCTCCCCGCGCTCCTCGGGGTCCTCGGCGCCGCCGCGGTTCTCTTCTTCCTGACCGTGCGCCTTTGAGAAGTAAGCAGTTGCGAACGAATCAACGGCCAGGGTCCCATCGCCGCCACCATGGCGATGAATCCGGCGAACGGGAAATTGGCCCAGGGGGTTTCGGGGAGACATGGCGAGGTCAGGCTCTCAAAGGCATCTGGTAGCACGTGGATGAATCCCGTGGAGAGGATTACCCCGGCGGCGGGGAGCAGTTCCTGTAAGTAACCTACCGGTGAGTAACGGCCAGTAACCACCGGATCGGCCGTCCATTGCAATCCATTAATAACCGTCAGATGTAGAATAGCAAATACACGTAGGGGTATAATAGTAACTGACCTTCTGACAATTTGAAAAAGGTAACCGAGCCTTCCCCGCCATCATTATCACCAACTCTGTAAAAACAGAAAAATCACAGGCGGTTCGAGTTCCATCTCTGCTTTTCGCTCTGCATTTACGCTATCCATTCTCTCTCTCTCTCTCTCTCTCTCTCTCTCTCTCTCTCTCTCTCTCTCTCATTTCATCTTCGCAAACTGCACCGTTGAAGTCGAAGTCGAATCTCGAATTTTCATTTCGCTTAGCAAAGGATACTGATCTCAGTTCTTCAGCGATCAAGTGAGGGTTTCCAGTTCGACGTCTTCAGCGACAAAATTAGGATTTCCAACTTCGACGTCTTCAACGATCAAGGTAAATCATCACTTCTTTCTTCAAGTACATACTTCACAAATACCAAACGTAAAAAAACTCTACTATGCTTAATGTTTTCACAATACCACACTGGTACCATGTGGTATTCTAAGGGAAAAAAGTTCTAGCAGTGGTCAAAGTACTTACAGTGAAATACAAAACCTATCCATACTCTGATTTTTTTACAATACCACACTGGTACCATATGGTATTCTAAGTAGAAACCGTTCCAGTAGTAGTCAAAGTAAGAATGAAAAATATTTTATAGGAAAAGTATAAAAACCTATTCTATGCTCTGATTTTCTTACAATACCACACTGATACCATATGGTATTCTAAGGAGAAACCACCCACGTACTGGTCAAAGTACTTACAGTGGTATGGTATGGTAGAATATGGTATGGTATGGTTGTTGGTGTTTTTGCTTACTGGTAGAATATGGTATGGTATGGTATGGTATGGTATGGTAGAATATGGTATGGTATGGTATGGTAGTTGGTGTTTTTGCTTACTGGTATAATATGATATGGTATGGTATGGTAGTTGGTGTTTTTGCTTACTGGTATAATATGGTATGGTATGGTATTTGGTGTTTTTGCTTACTGGTATGGTATGGTATGTTATAGCAATTCTTCTATTCTGGATGCAGGTACATCATGTCGAGACATAGGGACGATTTTCGCACAAGGTGCAGCCCAACAAGAATCAACACACTTTCAAGAACATTAACACCTGAACAGAGGGAAAAATTGCAGGAATTAGGCCTTGATGGCTTAACATGCATCCAGCAAACAAAGATAAACAAGAACTTTGCTCTATTCACAATGAACAAGTACAATCCAACAAAGAAATCATTCAAGCTGCCTGGTGAAAACTACATGAAGATATCGCCAATTGACTTTCATAGAATTTATGGTCTACCATTGTGTAAAAAGGAAGTGACGCTCAAAAAATTATCACTGGACGAAGCAGTAGACTATGCATGTCAGGTCCTACTAGAACTAGAAGCTCCAGCTACAAATGGAAGGGTGAAATTAGCTAACGTAGAGCATGACATTTCTAATGCTCATACCATTGAAATATGGATCAAACTGTTCTGGGTTCTGGTTACGGGAGCTCTATTGTGCCCATTTTCAAACCCAACTGCTGAGTTGAATGTGATGGAGTACTTGCACCCGGACAAAATCAAGCATTTCAAAGAATACAATTGGTGCAAGTTCTTCTTCGACTATATGAATGAGGGGTTGAAATCAAAAAAACCTGTACGTCAATGCAAATCTTCATTTCTTAACAGTAAGTATCTATACCCTCAATAATTTCATTTCAATTAGTATACCCTAAAGCATTACAAATCCTAGTACATCAATACTAATACAACTGTTTCTCCTTCCCACAAACAAATAAAAGGTATGCTTCATGTACAATTTGGATGAAATGGCCTTCTCCACACAGTTTCAAATCCCAACAACAAACTACTATGATGACACTGCTGTGCAAAGAAACTATGAAAACATACAGAGCTACTACGGTGGAGAAGAACTTCACGAGCTCATGAAGATACAGGATAAAGAAGAGAAGATCGATGACACCAGCAGTGATGATGATGACAACAACACAGACCAACAACCATCAACATCACTCATATTTGATTTGAAGATGATCAAGACTATCCCCCAAGTAAGTATAAATTACCATATGTTACAAATTGTGCACTTCATATAACTAATACCACACATGAACCATGGTGGTAATATATGGTATTGTACTGTATAAAGCACATACCATCCATTACCACCATGGTAATATGTGGTATTCTACTGTAAATATTAACTTACAGACCAAAAAATCACTAATGCAGGCTGAGAGAGCACTGTAGCTGGTGAAAACATCAATGAAAGCTATGTTGCAATCAATCAAGATGCAATACAAAGCTCAAATTGATGAGCTTGTCAAACACAAGGAAATGTTGAAGCTGAGATCTGATGACAACTTTGATGCTGTGGAAGGAGACAGATCTGATGACGTGATTGTCGAAGATGATGAAGATGAAGAAGAAGGCGCAAACCTGGAAGAAACTCTGAAGAATTTTTTTGACAAGGTACAATCAGAAAAAAGGAAAGCAACCACAGTCAATGACTCTGAAGAAAATGATGATTCTCAACGGACAACAGTGGATCTAGCTGGACCAACACAATGGAAGAAAAGGAAGACTCAAGATGGTTCTCCAACAAAACCAGAAGCTCAACATCAAACAGAAGTACCAACAACAGAGAATCCTGCTGAAACTGCTGAGCAGAACCAAGGAAGTTCAGTTCCAGAGAATGTAAACCAGGAGGCCAACACAAAAGGAGATGAAGGAAAGGAGAATGAAATGGATCAAGATCAGGAAGGAGATGACAGTGAGAAGACACAGTCAGATGTGCTTGTTTCAAAGGAGGGAGGAAATGGAAAGAACAATGATGAAGAAGCAATCCAACCACCACCACAAAAGACTGCAGTAAACCCCAAAGATGCAGAAGACAGTGACATACCATCTTTTGACATCAGCCCATTCAATCCCCCATCAGCAGCAGCAAATATCAACATCACCACAGCAACAGCATCACAACAACAAGAAGAACCGCACAAAAGAAGGATAGTGATCAAGAATGTGCATGGACCAGAGAAGAAAGCAAAAACATCAACCCCTCCACAAGAAAAAACAAGCCAACAGTTGGTGAATAAACCATTCATTGAATGGTCAAACTTGTACTCGAACAGCCAGGAGAGGCTACTGGAGATAAATGCATGCTTGGCTGCTTACATTGATGACATGAATACTCTAGTTTCACAACCAATACCAGGAGTGAGCTCATCAGCAGCAAATGAACCAGTTCAAGCAAAACATGGTGCCCTAGATGCAATCCCAACTGCAATGATGGTTACACCACCTCAAACAACTCCTAATGAAGTTTTCAATGACATCCTTGAGTACATAAGGTGCAAAACAACAAAATTGTCGACGAGTAAGTAAACTTCTTAATAGCAATTAATTTCTTAATGACATATACTATAGTATGGTATGGTATGGTATTGAATGATATGCTAGTATGGTATGGTATGGTATGGTATGGTATGGTATGGTATGGTATGGTATAATGTTGAATAATACCACATGGTATAATATGGTATAATGTTGAATAATACCACATGGTATAATGTGGTATACTGTTCTGAACAGGGACGAGGTAATGTTCAGCAGAAAGGATGGCACAGGCTTACTCAAAAGGTCATCATTGCAATCTGTTGACATAGATCAACTGATAACAAATGATGTCGTGGACTGGTATGGAGATCGGATGAACAGAGATCAAGCAAAATCAGGAAAAATCTCCAAGTGGTTCTTCTCTAGTCATTTGGCAGTAAGTTTGTCCATATTTTAATGTATTATACTTACTATACCAGAATATATGATTGCTTTAACATAATTTCAAATTTACAGGCTGACTGCAAGCTGGACATAGACAACAATAATCCTCCACTAAGTGCAGACCAATACTTCGACAAAGTGGACGAATATATTTCTGACAAAGAATGGGCAAAAGACCTCAGCTTCCAGAACTGTGACCTTGTAAGTAACACAACAAAAACCATAAAATACCATATGGTATGACATCAAAAAACTATTCCTCAAAACATATTTATAATTATCCATTAACATTCTCACTTCATTCATATGCAGTGGTTCTTCCCTTACTGTGATGGTGAACACTACATCATGATCTGTGTCAACATCAAGAACACAAGATTTGATGTGCTTGACAGTCTCCGCTACAAAGACTTTGACGAGACTTACAAACCAGTGGCAGAAAGAGTTGTCAAGTATGCAATCAACTACATGAGTGTCTACTGTGGGAACAGACAAATCCCCTGGGAGAAGTTTGACTGGTTCAATCTGGTGAAGATTACACAACCAGATAAACTCTCGTGTGGATTGTACATAATCAGATGGATGCGCCATTGGGAAGGAAAGTACAAGAGTTTTATGCAATCAGACTGGAAGAGAGTGGATCTGATCAATGAAGACATGGAGTGTATCATGCTGGATATCATCCTCGATAAAGAAAACCTTGAGCGTGATCGGATTATGAAAGCTGTCACAAAGTACTGCGCTATGAAGAATCAAGGCAAGTAAGGGAAGGAGACAACATCAGTATGGTTTAGGGAGTTTAAGTGTGTGCTTTTGAAGACAAACAATATGCTAACTATTTTTATTATGTGTGTGCTTTTGAGAACAAACAAGGTATTCAGAATTGTTCTTATCGGTGTGTTATAACTTACATTTGAAACACTACTTATTATGGCTATGTAACAGCCTAGTACTTTTTGTTACCCTTTATTAATGTCACAGATCTAAGATTACAGTCATCAAAATATTTATACCATAGTATACCATATGGTATAACATGGTATAAACATTTTTAAATACACCACAACAAGCCACATGGTATTTTATGGTAACTGAACACAACACAGATCTAAAATTACAGTCATCAAGAATGTTTTTACCATAGTATACCATATGGTATAACATGGTATAAAGATTTTTAAATGCACCAGAACACGCCATATGATATTTTATGGTAACTTAATACAATACAGATCTAAGATTACAGTAATCAAAATGTTTATACCATGGTATACCATATGGTATAACATGGTATAAACATTTTTAAAAACACCACTACACTAATATGGTAAAAGTAAAAATAAAAAAAACACCACCATGACAAAACCATAGTAAAACCTTATATTAAAGGTTAAATTCATCCACGAAACATTAAGTCCTTCTCATGTGCAGATCAATACTACTTCAAACAAAAGCAAAAAAACAAAAATGCAAGAAACACGTAAAATTCAACATCAAAACAGCTAATAAAACTCCACAGCCTTCAAACAACTATCACAACTTCAAACTTTCTTCCACAGCCTTCAAATTCTCCTCTTCCAATCTGCTAGTCTTTTTCTTCTTCCTACTAGCCGCCCTTCCAATCTCAGCTTCTGAAATAGGTCGTTTCGGAGGCTTAAATGAATCCTTCTTAGGCTTAAACCCCTTCACATTTCGAACTGGAACATCACCTACAAATAAGAAATACATACTACAATCAATACCACATAATACCATATGGTATTCCAACACATTACCAGAAACAATAAAGAAACCCACACT